AAAAAATGTGGAAGCTATATAGACTAGTCACAGCCCAAGACTAACTAGTCGTTCACATCAGCTTAAATCATTGTGGCCATATGTTTTTGGTTGCACTCATTTCTTACTACCTGAAATCTTTCATCTAAAGTGCTACTTGACTATCATTCATTTCATCTAATTAAATTATTCATCCCGTACCAATCTTCCTACTTACCCTCTGGTAACATAGACCCTGAAAATCACCAATTTCTGTCATTTCTGTGGAAACTAATCTTCTAACCCATATGGCAGGGTCTATGTTCATTTACTAGAGGCTTCTATCAATGCCACATCAATGCCAGTTGCTCAACGGTGGGGTCTGCATCCCAGTTGTGTTTTCTTCGGGCTCGCGGCGCAATCCCGAAGATAGCCTGGTGCCTCGGACGGAGAGGGAGAATTTGAAACCCCAAAGGATGGCCCCTGGTGAGTGTCTCACGGAAACCTCAGTTGCACCATAATCTCTTTCCCCCGTTAAAATATGAAAAAAAAAAAACATTACATGTTGTAAAAATCCCATGTTAAAGATGTTCAAAGCACGGTTTCTGGGTGTTGTTCAAGATGAATGAGCGAAGGGATTAGATTCACGATTAGATACAATAAATTGCTAGTTAAGTTACTTCAAGTCACTTCAATCCCATCATTAAATTGCGAGTAAATCATATATATATATATATATTGAATTCCCATTTTTCTTGGTGGAATCTACCTGATATCCCTTAAATGCCATAGTGGTTTCTATAGGGCCGCGTGCCCGGTGGTTCTTCTGAACCGTCCAAGCTGCCGGGTAGAGGCCGTGATCGGGAACTAGTCCTGGATCGACTGGAGTACCCAGTCACTTTGTGGATTTTCTATCGTTTGGAATATCATATATATATATATATATCATACTATTATTTATCATATTCCATATGATGAAATATGTTATTCCATATTATATATATATTATTATTATTATTCCAAATATTATATATATATATACCCTATGGTTATTTAACAGTTTGCCATGGTATAGATGGCCCATAGAAATAGTTGGTTTACCGAACTTAACAATGGGTGGATTTTCCATGGCGAACTGTTAGTCATACCCAGATGGTATATCATATTATTCCATATGATTCCATATTATATCTATATATTATATTTTGTATTATTGTACATAGCAACCCCAAAGGAGGATAGGAAACGAATTCCTCTTCGGTTACTGATAAATACTGATAAATTGTTTTTCTATCTATTTGGGCGTTACTACATATTATATTATATATATTTACATATGCACCCTGACCTCCCTTCACAACGTTTCACTGTGGGGTTACTAAGCACACCGTTCGACCTTGTTTTTAGATAACAAAAAATAAATGCTATCTAGCTACCAATGTGCAAGCCAGAGAGTGGTCTAACAGTGTTGGCTCAATCCCAACGCACTTTGGACACTATTCACATGCATTCACAGTATTGACGTGAAGGATAGGTGGGAAGCCAGTATCAAAAGGACAAGCAAATGCCAACATGGAAGCTTCAGTTGCCCACTGCAAAATCTGAATCATTCTGAATCATTCTTCCAGGTCTTTCCACTTGCAATTATGTGGAGGTTTCCTAAGTCATGGGGCTACCCCATGTTCATCATCCAACTTGTTGTAGGTGATTATCAATGGGAAAACCCATGCTTTGGGGTAGCAATATGAGTTAGGAAACCTCCATTTCTGTTGCTGTGGGAAGCTCCTCTTGGCAGGTCCATCTCGTCCAAAGTCACCAAACTCTTCTGAACCGCCCTGGGCGGTGTTTCTCGGGGATCCAATTGTTTGACAAACTCAACGAATCGAGCATGGAAAGTGGGCTTCCAAATCATTCCAAACATATTTCCAAACCCATTCTCGCGGGGTCCGGATAATTATCAAGATTCTACTGGCACACTACTCGAAGCCCACGACCTGTAGCAAGTCATGCAAGGGCTACACAACAAGTGCCCAAGGAATGCCCAAGCAGTTCAAATCCCTGATTTTCTCAGCTGTCAAGGAGCTTGTAATTTGGCTGTACTGTATTTTTTGATGATTTCCATGATAACTCGTATTTTTCTGATTCTTCCATCACCACTTAGACTTACGGCGTCATTTGACATCGTTGAAACTCAGCCAGGGATCGCTACAGCTTCTGGGGTCCTGAAACATGTAGCACCACATGGCTTCGATGCTTTTTCTTGGACATAGTCATCCCCAAATAGATGTGGATCTTACCACAAGTTTTAGTGGATGTTCATGGATGTTCCATGTATTTTGGATGGATTTTGTTTTACTACATGTTACTATTTATATATATATATCTATTTGAAGATAACACGAGATAACTATACATCATACCAAACAAAAACACTGGGAATTATAATGCAACAGATCGGTTCAAAAATACATGGCGAATACCACAGGATGATTCTACGTTCCATTAAAACCAAGCGATATTTGGCTAGAAATAGGCTACCCCAAAAATTGATGATGGAAAACACAATTGTCCCCATTACAAGTGGGAAATACTGTGGGTATACGCTACTAGTATATATATATATATATATATATACGTATATACATATACATATCCCATATTCAGACACAACAAAACATCGGATTGTTGGTTATATATCCGACTAGATCCCATAAAATATCACCATATACAGCAATATCAGCTTATACGGACCACATCAACAAATGAGGACTTGTCTTTTCGGGGAGTGATGTTGTCTAGCATGATTTGCTGTTCTATCTTCTCGGGATAGTTTCGAAAAATGTTCCATCCTGTATGATTCTTTTAAAAAAAATATAAGTGGTGGTTTCCTAAAATAGGAGTACCCAAAAATCATCCATTTTAGTAGGATTGACCATTATAAACCATCTATTTTGGGGGTACCCCCATGGCTATGGAAACCCCCAATGAACAACTGACGAGTTTCCAGCCATCCTCTTGGCCCCCTAACTCCGCGGAGACCCAAGGTGGCTCCACAGGGAGAAGTGACGAAGGCGCCTGGCGACGTGCAGCCGCCAAGCCACTGGAATGGAGGGTACCCCTGTTTTCACCAAATTTGTTGGAAAACTATAATCATTGGAAAACCATCATCTGTTTTCACCATAGTTTTCCCATCATCACTGGATTGGTTTAAGGGAAAATCTAGACGAAAACCCCATATTTGGTGGGAAAGACCCATGGTTCCGAAGAAAAAAAAATCCTGTAGATTTCCCCCCTAAACCAATCCATCGATATAAGGAAACAGATGGAACAAGATGATGCATGGAAGAATGTGGGGATACATGGGTGCAAAGGGGCCATGAAGCCAATCATAATGTGGGTATTGTGGTATTATGGGGATTATACTATTGTGGTATTTGCAGATACAAACCGTCTGAATTGGAGAAGAGGAAACCATGAGGATCATGTTGCAGCCACATGTGAACCATGGTTGGTCAGTAAGATTTCCCAGCATGGATTGTGATACATATAGTAGAAGCCCATATACTATAACCATCAATCAACCATCATTCTACTTATATCATCTTATATCCCCATGTTTCGATAATTAAAACCCATCTTGGACAACAAATCCATACAAATGCCATCTCCCTAATATTAACCCCCCAAATGGTTCCAATTATGAGGAAATTCCATGATAATCCCTGCTGGACCATGGTTTCCTTTGGGGGTGCTTAATATTAGGATGGGATGATCAACATGTATTAACCATCAATTGTTGATCAATATGAATTTTGGGGGTGTTTACCCATCAATGATCCATTTGTTCACATAATTCATGGTGTTCGACCCATCCTAACATCAACACTCCATCAATGGAATCAATGGTGTACCAGCGTTTAATGTTTTTAACATTTATCAACCATTGGTGTTGTCAACAAACAAATCCAATCCTAATATGAGGGTGAACAATTAACCATCAACTATTAGCCATCTAGTTGGGTGAACATAAATTAACCATCTATTAACCATCTATTAACCATCATTAACCATCTATTATTAACATATATTAACATTTAATTAACATATGGTTTATCCATCTATTAACATATATTAACATTTAATTAACCATCTGTTTTTAACAGTATTTAATATCAGTTTCAGCAGTTTCAGCAGTTTCAGCACCTCCATGGGCCACAAAGGTCGCAAGGAAAGTTTCATCCAGCGCTCCACGTAGTCTGAGTCGTGTGAGTCGAAGCGGTCGGAGGTCGGACAGTTGGGATCGACATGCCAAGAACTGTTGGGTGTATGGTAGATATATCTAGATATATATATATGTAGAGATAGATATATATATATATATCTATCTAGATATACTCTAGATATCTATATATAGATATATCTAGATTCTAGATATAATCTAGGTATATCTACTTGTAGTGAAATAGAAGCTTATAACATGTCAAAAAAATTACCAGCACCTAGTGGCCAACATAAAACACAGGACATTTGGGCATCCCTTCCCAGACAAAGCCATACTGCTTGGTGAACCACCCCTCTGAAAAATGATGGGGTGAGTTCGTCAGTTGGGATGATGACATTCCCAATATGATGGGATAGTCATAAAATTCCATGGTTCCAAACCACCAACCAGCATATTATTACTGAGTGTTGACCCATCTCAACAAGTGGCCCAAGGTTGATACCAAGGTTTCAATGATGTGAAAATGCGCGACCATGCAGTTCGGAGTGTCTGTATCTGGGCTTTGAGCCACCAATCTCCAAAAATAATGCGTTAACCAGAATCATAATCTCAAAACTGTTAAGCATTTACTGAAACGTTCTTGGTGGTTTTGACTCCCGTGAAAATGTTGGTCTCTCATGAAAATCATATATTAGTCAATGTGGGATCATCATCACAAAAAAACAAACCTAGTCTATATAAGCATGGCATGGAACATGAGAATTGATTCACCCCACCATTCTGAGTGCAGTCCTCCCTGGCTGCAACCTGTTGAACACAGTTTTCCTCTAAGCCCAAAAGCTCTGAGTTGCACAGCCGGGGGTGAAAATCTCTACTTCTTCGCTGGACTGCCCTTTCCCGAACGGGATTTTCCTTTTGGACTCTCCTTCACTTCAGCCTCCTGGTTCACTTCAGCCTGCTTTCCTTGGAATTGTTCAAGGCCCCCTACCCCACACAACACAAAAAAAACTCTTCAAAACAGTCTTCACATTGTACAACTGCAGTCAGTATCCCCATGTATTCCCCTGGGAAAAAGAAGATCACCAAAGTTCTGCCGGGTTTCTAGGCACACATCGCAAGCCATGCGGCACCGGCGGTTCCGGCATGGGCAGCGCCATCAGCGCAGGCGCTGCCGTCAGCTTCGCCCTCTTGGGGATCTTGGGGCCACGGTACTCCACCAGGGCGCCGCAAGGAGTTTGGGACATCTCCTCAGCAGAAATGCGACGGCTGATGCCATCCAAGATTGGGGGGAGTGGGATGGCGAAGGCTCAGGCAACGTCGAAAAATCGCTTGGCAAGCAGAAGGTTTCCAAGAACAGGCTTGACTCCTAGATCAATCAGAACCAATGCCGAAACACCTCGTTCAATACGATCAAATATGATTAATATATGTTCATGAGAAGGTCATCCCACAAATAGACAGGTGATTGCGATGTTTGACGCCACCAAATAAATGGATGTTTCCCAAAATCCCTGTAGCCCAAAACTATTGCGTCTCTTAAAATCACCTCAAAAACAGCCTTCAGCTTGCACCAAGTGTCCCCCATCTCAATCATCGGAAGGTTCCTCAGCCACTTGCTGAAGGAGCCTCCTTTTCCACGCACCTTGCCTGCTTTATTCAGGTCACTCCAGACCGTGGAGACCTCGGTTTGGTGATGAACCTGGTGGTTCTTCTCGTTTCTGCGGGTCGGATCTCATCTTTTACTGATGTTTATCAAAGCTGATCATATGTTAATATGTTTTATCATAGTTTGTCATGTTTATCGTGTTTTTATCATGGTTTGTCATAGTTTTTCATTTGCTGTCATATTTTGTCATAGTTTAGATGTATATATCATGTTTTGTAGTCGTCGTCGTCATCATCATCATCATCATCTTCTTGTCATATCTTTTCCATAAACGTCCCATCTCTAGTTGCTTCCTGTACACCCATCTTTGCTGGTCAAATCACATCCTTGGTTTTCGTCATGATTGGTAACTAGTGTTATCTTTGAAGTTGCTCTGCCAACCAACATCTCCTGCTTCGTGTGTTCAACCCCTGCAAACTATATAGTCATAATATATATATAGTCCCTGTGGGTCATCATCCCAAATATGGATATAAAATATCAAAAAGGGTTGAACCCAGCTGTTTCTGTCATCCACATTTCTTGGAGGTGTCAAGCAATTTTCCCCAAAATGTGCACATGTTGAAACCACCCAGCTGTGTTTTTTCACCAGGGCACATTGTAACATTTCTTGGAGCCTTCCTGCGTCTCAGCCAGACTCCTGAAGTCCTTGGGCCCATACTGCAGGGCTTTATAGATCACTTCCTGGGCCAAATCTCCGAGTTTGGTGCAGCATGGTGAAGCCATCAGTGGAAAATACTGGAAATCTTTGGTGAAGGCTAATGTTTGGTAAACCTTGATTTGGTTGTAGACTCCGTGGTTTCCTTCAATCTATGGCTTGTTTGAAACTAGGCACCCTGCGGCCTGAATCCATGGATTGATGTTTTTAGGGATGCGAGACATAACCCCAAGGTCGGCAATTACCAAGAACAAATGGGACATCTAGCAATCCAAAAGGTGGTTCATCATGGTGTCTCAAGTGGGGTGACTTTGCCCAACTTTTGGGGGGGAGGTGTTTTGAAAGCTACCGTCTTGAACCCTACCATCTTGATGGATTGCCAAACTGGTTTTAGTGGAACTACACCCTCCTCTGATTTATGGTCTGACTCCCATGTTCATGGGTCAAGTCAAAGTCTCAATGAGCTGTTGCTCCTCCTTCCCAAACTTTTCACTTTCTCTCTTTTCGGCCCGCTCAGCCTCCTTCGCCTCCTTCGCAAGAACGGAAATTTGTCCCAAAACCTCACTTTTCTCCGCAAATGATTAAAGAGAACAGGGACCGAATCCTCCCTGCCTGCTTGGCCTTCTTGGCTTCAGCCTTGACGGCCGCCACAGCCACACTTAAAGGCCTGTTGAGCAGCACCGGCGCTGCCGCCGGGAGCGCCAGCTGCCCTGCAGGCCCGCGCCCCACAGGGCCCGGCACCACCGCCACCTTCTTCTCGCAGCGGCCGCAGGCAATTCGCAGCGCCAGGTGAAGAAGAAGCAGGGCGTGCACTGTGTGCTTCGCCACCTTCTGCTTTAGAAGCGCCTCAACTGACCCCCAGGTCAGTGACCCGGCCCACGGATGTTTGGGCTTATTTAAGGGTTGATTAACCACCAACAACCACGAATAAAATCTAATAAAGGCTTATTGACCATCTATTATTGGGGGGCTCACCTTTGGGGGGTTTGGTTAAACCCCCATGATGAAGGGCAAAGTCCGATCTTTTCAGAGACTGATTTGCAATGTGGTGCAACATAAAACTGTGTGTTTTCACAATATTTCGATTGGGTCAAGGATCTTAGTCCAGTTTCTTTCAGAATCTTTCTGAGCAAACATATATAATGTTTTCAAGATATCACAGCATGATGCAGCAACTTTCGTAGTGGAGCGGCTCGGATTTTGAAATACATCCACAATTGCCTGGTGCATTACTTTGAGACCTCCCAAACTCCATGGTGCACTTGAACCATCAACCTTAACCAAGCGGGGTGAGGGCCCAGCATAGCGCATCATTTTTAGAGCATCCCAGCGTCCGCATCTTCGTCCGTGCGCTTGAGCTTGGCGAGTTGTTCCAGCGTCATGTCATCACTGTCGCTTGGTAGATCTCCAACCTGGAAGGCGGAGATAGCCACGGGCCCCATGGGCCATGGGAACCTGAAACATGATGACTGCTTTGGCCAGAAAGGTGACGAAAACTAGAGCCGCCCAAAAAAATCGACGCCATTTGACTCACAAGACATATCAATATCAATGTCAATATCTATATGTATATGTATACACACATATATATATATAAACAACTATATATGTAATCATATATAAAAGTATAGCTAAATCACCCTCACACAGCCGGACTAGGGGATTTAAGACGAACCCTCAAGCAGCGGCGGCAGCGATGTTTTGCCACAGTGCTTGAGCCAAATGTAAGTAGCCGAATGGCAAAATGAGAGTGACAATACCAACCTGGAAGGATGTTGAGTGCAGACGATAAGAATCTTATCGTCTGTCGCTTTTTTAGTGTGTTTTAACAACTCCCCCCTCATACTGTACAAGTTGGTATGTCCCTACAGTGTGGAGTTTCGCTCCTTCGATTCCTGGCGGACACGTAGTCACGCAATTTCGAACTCAAAGCTGGACGCACAATTGTGCTAAGGCTTCTGACCAATTTTGCGGGGCAATCACTTTGGTCAGTGCATTTGCAAGTTGGAGCTCTGTGTTACAGTATTCCATGTCAAACACCCCCCCCGAGCTGTTCGTGTACTGGGGCCAGGTTGACTCGGTGCACACGATTTGCTGATCGAAGTTTTGCACTGTATCCGGATCGGATCACAGTGATGGTGGCTTGATTGCCTTGCTTGAAAATTACAGGCACTCTGGTTTCGACTAAAGTCTCAATCAGAGAACGCAAGTTTACGGTTTCCCCAAGCAACGCACCGGCGCATGCAATTAACTCGGCCTCGGTCGTGCTTCGAGCTGTTGAGCTCTGCTTCTTGCTTTGCCACATGACAGGAAAGCTTCACTCGCCTGAGGCTACTCTGGCTCTCTGGCTCTCAGGCTCTGCTGCTTCTGGCTCTGTGGCTCTGCTGCTTCTGGCGTCCCTGTTGCCTTCCCTCTGCTTGGGGCCCTCTGGCAGGGACCGGGGCCCGCAAGCCCAAAAGCCGCCCAAACTAGAGACAACCAGCCCTCCGGCTCCAATCTCTGCTTCTCTCCGGGCGCCCCTTGCCGGGAACGGGGCCCCTATATATAGGAAAAGCCCGTCTGCTGCATTCCCTTGGGCTTCCTCTCTGGCTCTCTGGCTTCCTGGCTCTTCTGCTTCCGGCGTCCCCGTGGCCTGCACGGACCTTTGGTCTCTGTTTCAAGATTGGCGGTTTTGGCAAGTCTTGCGAAACTTTTGGTGGCACCTTTGGTGGCGTTGATGGAGCTGTGGTCAAATGAACTGCTTTTGCACTTGTGCGGGATTCCCCAGAAACTGCTGCATGGGATTCCCCAGAAACTGTTGCACCTGCATTTGATTCCCCAGAAATTGTAGCCCGAGAAAACACTGGCCTTCCACCCGTCGCCTTTGGCAAGATGAAGCTGTGTGACCCGCTTGAAGTTCCTATTGAAGAAGATGCAATCGGTTCCGGTGCTGTTGATGATGCTGTAGCTGAAGACTCAAGATTTTTCGGAGGCGGACGATCTGGCTCCGGTGGCCTGCGCCAAGACGGTACCGCCCTCGGATCAATTGGATCCCCAGTTCCCTGCTCCAATTCCTCGTCCTCTGATGGTGGAGGATAAACGCTTTCAGCGTTCTCGCTCTCAAGATCACTTTCGGTGCCAGGAATGATTGGTTCACTCCTAAGAGGAAGTCTTTTCGCAGATTTAACAGCGTTGTAGATATCCAACACCTGCCACTTACGTCTCAAGTAATTTCTCGCACCTCACGAAGCTGTGATTGCAAACTCAAGAAGATGAAGATAATACTCGATGATGGTCAGAATGAGGGACTTCAAGACTTCCTACGACTCTGAAATCATCGACCTGCCCGCCCTTCTGCAATCAACTCGTTCAGGCGCGCCCCAAGGCATCACTGGTGACCTTGAACGACGACGATAGTCAGAGGGCCCCGCTTTCATGAACGCAGTGAAACCTTGCAGTCTTGCGGTGGAAACAACGAGACGCGGTTGCGGTGAAACAAAGGGTAGCTAACCACTTCGATCCAAACACACAATCGATGTCAGGCTGTTCCAACAGATCTTTTGGATTGGATATGATTTTCACTGGATGAACTTGAGTTCTCACTAAATGCAATCCTTTCGATACACAAGGAGCTCGGCAAAATACCCTTATCAAGTTCTTCTCGCTTTGGGATTTGAAATTTGATTGAGATCACTGTGATCTTTGACAATTGCACAAGAAGAATTGCTAGTGTGTTTCAGGGACAAGCAATTTCGGCTAGGTCGTTCCAATGCAAACACACCGATCTGAGATGATTCGGTTATGTGAGGCTTAGTCTCAACAAGCGAATGCGAGCACTGGGCACCCGATTATGGAGGTTGGTAAACCGCTGGATCTGGCCGGTGTTGCTGAAAAGCAAAACCCCCGGCCCGGCAAAAACACGGTCCTTGGAAAGTGCTTTTCTGGCTTCAGTTGGCAAGACCTGGATTGGTCTAGCTGCCATGTCTGTGAGATAAACAAGCTCTAGACCCTTGCAACTCGATTATGGGCCTATCTGAGGAGTTAACGCCACAGGCGGCGGAGTTGTGACTACCAAAGGGGCTCAGGCTTTGGGAACCGCGAGGTTATGAAGCAGCTTACGATAAGCTGAGGCTGTTAACCAGCTAAATCACCTTAACACAGCCGGATTCGGGGATTTAAGACGAACCCTCAAGCAGCGGCGGCAGCGATGTTTTGCCACAGTGCTTGAGCCAAATGTAAGTAGCCGAATGGCAAAATGAGAGTGACAATACCAACCTGGAAGGATGTTGAGTGCAGACGATAAGAATCTTATCGTCTGTCGCTTTTTTAGTGTGTTTTAACAACTATCATATATAATTATATATATATATGATTATACATATATATATGTATATATATATATTTATATATATATATATATATATTTATATATATAATTATATATTGAGACAACCACATCATGTTGAATTCCCCGTAAACGATCTAAGTTTCTCCTCCACCGGGTCTGAAATGTCCCATGTTGACACGAATCGACCCGCAGCCGGCACCTGAGGAAGTGGGCTGCTGACTCGAATCCCTAAGCCCGGAATCCTCCCGACCATCTCTGCCCCCTCTTCCTCGACGACCACCTCCTCGTGGCGTCCGCTATGCAAGGCCACCGCTTGATGCAGCATCCGAGGCACATCTTCTGGAGAGAAATCTGCTTTTTCCAAGCTATGGAGGAGTTCTTGCCTCAGATTCTTAGCTGACTTTGGACTCACCAAAAAATGAAATTCGTTGTTTGTTGTTGTAAAATCTACCCGTGTCATCCCATGTCCATGTTTGGCAGATTGACCAATGGGTAAAAAAAAAGATCTCGCATCCACGAATCCCAGCAGCTGCTGATTCACCCGCTTGTTGAACACCTCCAACTGCTCATCCATCTCTTCCTCCCGCCGATTCATCGCCATCTGCCGCCGGAGGTATTCTGCGTGTGCTGCACGTAGCATCTGGGGTGGCTGATTCTTCGCCTTCTCGTTCTTTTTCGGTTGTTGCTTCGGGAGTTTCTTTGCCTCCTTCTTGCCCTTCTTCTTCTTGTCCTTCTTAGTTTCTTTTTTTCCTGCAGTTCAAACACCAGGCCCAGCAATTTCTCCAACAAACACATCAGAAGCGTCGATGTGTAACTCGGCCAAGTTTGCCCATGGTGGATCCATTGGGAAATCCAACAAATTTGGCCGCAGATTTTTCATCATTTTGCCCACCACACTTGCCATTTTAGAGATATAATTGATATATATATATATATATATAAATAATTCCACCAAAAAAACAAGACAGCAAAGTCCATGCAAATTCCAAGTCTCTTTTGCCTTGATTCCATTGGGACCCCTGCGACTTCCATCCGTAGGAGTTTGGCGACTTCCGTCGCCGCCAGGAATTCGAGGACTCGCCGGCACCAGGCCGGAAATCGAAGTGGGGCTGTGGAATCACCTGGGTTTTGGGAGAGCTGAAATCGATTCAAACATCTCACCCAACATAAGGCTTGGTGACCGGCTTGGTGGGCTGGTGGATGAGCTCTGAAAATCATGAAACATCAGAATTTGCACAAAAAAATGGAGGCACGAATTCTCATGCGGATTGAGTCTGCAAGATGGGAACCAAAATCACAATCCAATCTGGACTCCATTTGGGGTACACTAAAAGAATCTAAAAGACCTATGGGTCTGTCTGAAAAAAGGGTACCCCATAATTTGATGCTTAATCTTGCTGGTGCATTGTTATGGGAATAGGGGAATTATCTATTAATAACTATTAACAATCATCCCATATCATCCCATTCCCTCATTCTCTATGTTTAGCCAGTCAGTAAGGAATGATTATTTTCTCCAAAAAAATAACCCCATCGGTGTTATGCTTTTTGATTTTCTACCACAGGTGCCACATCCGCAATAACCCACCTTGTTGTCCTTCGTACCATCGGCTTTCCTTCAGAGGCTGCAGGGACTAGCGATTGAAATAAAGTCGTAAAGTGGTCGCCGGAAATGGGTTGCATAAACTCTCCAAAACTGGAGAGTTAAATCACGAGTTGTTATAACTATTTAATGCAGTTGTCGAAAAACAAATCCAAAATGGGTTGCTATGTTGTTATTGTTGGGTTTTACCACATTAAATGATTATAGTCTGAGGGACACCGTTGGTGTCCAAACATTAACCATAGTGGAGATCAACGTGTCTTCCTGATTATTTTTGCCACAATGGTGGGCGCCAAAAGAGTAAAGGATCAGAAATTATACCAGTTCAAAAAGTGATCTGCTTGCGTTCAACAAAAATATGGTCCCCGCAAACCCTTGGGGCTTCATCAGTTGATCGATTTCCATCATGTACTGCAGTCCTGGTGACCCGAAATCATCTCACTTTCGGACCTTTCAAAAAAAATTGCACTTTTGGTGAGGACCTTGAAGGTCTACTCGATCTTTACTCAGGATGTGGGGGAACTACCATGTCCAGAGAGCCACTGTCGCTGTTTGGAGCTAAGGATCCAGTTGCCCCAATCCTCCTCATCATCCATTCTCCTCCCTTGGCAACCTGTGGATTGAGACCATCGACCCGAGAGGAGATGAGGGATGCACTAGGGATGCCCCAAAAAGTCGTATAAATCAGTGGTTCACCATGTGCTCTGACAATGTCTGACAGTTTTTACATGTGTTTACCCCTTTATAAAATCCTTTTATCCCATATGCTCCGATCATGGCTGAATCATGAAAATTTACCGGTGAGCAGTGTTCAAAATCCCTCTTGCTTAATCAGTTCGAGGATTATCTTGGGAAAATCCGGGAAATCTCAGAATGGCCCTATCATCATCCATCAAGCAGCTTGGATACCTTGGGGAAATCCGGCCACTTAATCACTAGTCGAGTTCGTCCCCGCCTTCCTCCTTCACCTCCTCCTTCACTTCCATGGCTCATGGGAGCCGCTGGGGAGATTTTTGTTGGATACTTTTGATGTGGAGATTTCACACTGGGACTTTTGAATGCATAGTCATTGTTAGTCATTGTCCCTGGCTATGGTCTGGTAAGATATGGTAAGATGATGTGAGATTCATAATAGATTCATATACCCTCTGGTAAACTAACATAGCTATGGAAAATCACCATTTTTAATGGGTAAATCCACGAAATAAATGGCCATGTTCAATAGCAAACTGTTAGTTTACCAGGCCGGGTAGATTCATGATGTTGACGGGAATTGGTTTCTGCTGTTGCCTCCACTTATGGTTTCAACATCACCTGTTTTGAAAAACAGCTGCAGCTCGGCCAACGGTGTCGGGAACCCAACATGGCGCGTCGTTGCCTGCCTCAATATATTGCCCGCATGCTATTAGTACTTCACTAGAAATAAGATGCTGGTTGGTGGTATACCTACCCCTCTGAAAAATATGACTTCGTCAGTTGGGATGATGACATTCCCAATATATGGAAAGTCATAAAAGTCCATGGTTCCTGTCAGCACCAACCAGTCATTCTACCGATCATTTCTAGTGATGTCGGTGATGTTCGAGGGACCATCTGGCCGACTGATCCCGACACAATGGACCATCACAATCATCATGAAACTAGACAAAAGCAACTTAACTACAACTAGTAGGGCTTATAATAGGTTTAATAGGCCTATTAAAGAACTATAATAGGTTTAATACGCCTATTAAAGAACTAAAAATAAGATCAAAGAAGCTGTTTGGACCCCACATCGCTCCTGTTTTCATGGATGTTTTCAGCCTATGTATCAAGCATGGGTCAGTGGCCGCTCAAACCCGCCTGTGTCCACACAGTGCTTCATCATAGGACCATCCCAAGACCACAACCTTCCAGATGGACAGCGGCTTGGGACAGTTCCGAGTTCTTGATGGCTTGGGACATCATTTTTCCATATTAAAAAAGTGCCTGGTTTTGGGGAGATCCCCCAAAATAACACCCCCACATCATGGTTCTTATCCAGAAAATGCATATTTTGTTTCACTCAATCGCCTGAGGATTTTTTGTCTCAAAGCACCCGCGGCACAATGGCCGAGTGCTAGCCTTGATTGTGCCCCTGACACATCGAACAAGTTGTGACAGCCCAGACAGTGCATGTTTTTACCCATGGTATTTCCACTTGTAAGTGCACAGATTTCTCGAAATCTGGCCAGCTGGTACGAAGCCAGCAAAAGCTCCAATAACCTGTGATCGGATCCAAATCGATCTTCCCCGGAAGAGCTGCATGACTCTAAAAATGTCGAGTCACCGGAAGACGGACAAGAAACAAAAGCCATGGAGAATGGCTGTCCATTTAAGACAACTTTCCAACATAGAATAGTCAAATAGTCATGAATAGTCTAATAGCTTGGCAACTCTCCTAGCTTTTTTTTTCCTCTCCAGTGGTGAGCCAAAATGAAATAACATTCCACCAGTGGGGCGCCTGTCGGCCTCAGCGTCGTCCTCACAGGCGGCGCCTAACAGTTGATAGCTTTATTTTAGGGGTTCCGCGGGAAACAAATGAAAAGATATTATATGTAGAGGTATATAGTTTTACCTTTTTCTTGGCATCCTACTGTACCTAAATTTGAAGTGAATAAGCCAAGAATAGACCTGGTTCAACAGAAAGTCTATAGCTGTACTACCATGATGTGACCCACGCGGGTCATACCGCCAGTTTGGTTGCTCATGTACCATGACCCATCGTTGGTTACAATATGTTACAATTTGGCATGTCTCCAACAGTTACAGTACACATCAGTACACTGATTGACTCATCAATTGAGATTGGAGCGAACACCTCGTAAACAGACTCTCCCGGGGATCCGTACAATTAGGTCGATTCATGTCCTACTGGAACATTTCACATATCCAATAGGTAAATCGTCGAGACATCGCTGATGTCCATCTTCGTAACCAATAATTATATACATATGTATACATGCATATACATAAAGACGTAATACAATTTTATCTACATATTATATTCCAATATTTAATTCTATATATATTACACTTATATATTCCAAATTATATACTTATTATGTGTATATATATATATACGTATAGAGAGAGAGAGAGAGCGATAGATATAGATATACTACCCATGCCAAATCATTCAATGCGTTTTTTTGCCGGGCCTCCCCACACATCAAGGCTGAACCCTTCTCCAAGGTGTCCGGAGTCAGACCTACGCTGAAAAGGATGTTCTGTGGGATTTTCGCCTCCAAAATGGCTGATGAAATTCGTGATTTGAAGCTATTTTAGAACGATTTTACCGGATTTTACATGATCTTGCTGCATCCTTTGTAGCCGGGTAGCTATACAATGCTATGCACACAGGAAATTGACAGACGATCGAAGGTGTTCCTCAGGAATTTCCTCAGAGTTTTCTTCCCCTTGGGATTTCGGAGGGTTTGGATGCGATTCAATGAGTTTTATCTATCTTTATCTGATGTACCCTCTGGTAAACTAACATAACTATGGAAAATCACCATTTTTAATGGGAAAACTCACTATAAATGGCCATTTTCAATAGCTATGTTAAATTACCAGAGGGTAAACAGGCACACCAATTTTAATATCTCTCAATATCCACAGGTACAGGTCAAATACGCTTGAACTCTCCTCCAGGTTGCTCCTGGATCTTACGTCCCATTCACCCGCACTTCATATGGGACAATTATGGCTATTGTGAAGGCTGTTGACCCATTCCCAAAGCACATTGGCTGCACTCTGAGTCTCTGAACCTTGCACCGTGAAAGGTACGCTCACAATGCGATAACCTGGCGGAAAGCTGAAACAGCCACTGCCTAAAACATTCCAAGATGCACATCAGTTTATATCACCATATTTGTACATTAATGTGTATATATATATATATGTATGTATATATATATATATATGTGTATGTGTATATATATATATTATATGTGTATATATACGTATATGTATATGTATACGTATATATGTATATGTATATATGTATAAGTGTATATATGTGAAATTAACCACATGAGATCATTCAATACTTTGTCATGGACATCATTGGACACCTTTGGATTCTTGGATGGCATGCCACACCGATTTTGGCCACTCCTCGCCATTGATCGCGGCTCCAGATCGAGGAGGGTGGGACTAGGGATCTTGAGTGGGAAAAGGACAAGCTGGCTTGCGGGGAGATCGGGCATCTCGGTGTTCATTAAAACAAAAGAGGGGGCGAGATCCAAGGGGTTTAGATAGGAAGGGGTCTGCGAAATATAATGTCTCTAAACTTCCTCTTAAGAGACTAAAAAGGATCATAAAAGGATTTGTTTGGGATATATGTCACCTATCTATGGACGTCCAGGTCACCCAGGCATGACCTCTCTGTCAAATAAAATTTGACAGGGGTAACTTTGGATTTGTCGGCCCTGCGTCTGATATGTTCACTTGATGATTGGCTTTTGACCTCGCATGACTTGGCGCAATGAAACGGAGAGACAGCATGGCCTAAGGTCAAGCCAATGACCTGCACGCACTAGAGGACGCAAAAGGTCCTTTGTTCAAAATGCTCAGGCTGAACTTCAACAGTGTGTGGTTGTGAGTCTGCTGTTGTCCATCTACAAGTATGCTTGCTACATAGCGGTACTGTTATGTGATTATTTTACAAAAGCTCATGCGCCAGGCGCTGAACTAGACTAAACAATCACTGCTTAAATAAGAAAGAATACTGACACCAGGTTTAAATCTCGACAGCATGGTTCAGCCTACTCAGTAGTTAACGCAGGCCACGGTTCCTCATTGCCTGGGAAACCAGGAGTGGCAAAAAAACAAAACCAAATCAAATCAAGTTAAGATCAGAATCCTGTCACTGATTTGGAATCAAAGCGGATTGATGATTGGCATCCATCAGTCTGTCAGTCTCAGTCCGTCAAAATTTCAAAAGAAAACAGAGCTCGATTAAGAAACTAACTGACAATTGAGACGGCGTTTCCAATTGAATTTGTCTGTCAATCTCCCTAGGGATGAGCCGCCGAAACTTTTTGTTTCTGTTCCCATCTACCGTCCAGCTGCTTCGCAACATTTCCTGTTCCTTTGGATCCACGCACGAACCCTGACATCGGTGTTTCCCATGACGCTGACGATGCTTCTTTTGAATGTTGGCCCTTTGGATGGCCAACTTCCGTTAGTGCCACAAACACGCATGTACCAAGTTGGTGGGTCTCGACTGCCTGGGTTTGGGTCGAGCTTCAGTTGACCACAGACACGGCCACATACTTCACAACTCACATCTGTCCAGAAGTTTACATACCCACGCCCTGGCGCACGAACACGCGCCTCATCTGGTACAGGGGGTGCAACAGGCGCCGGAGCTTCAACATCAGGCCGGGGGCCTGCAGCTTCAGCAGCTCCATCTTCTGCTGGGCGTGCGGCCTCAAGAGCTGCAGCTTCAACATCAGGCGCAGGGGCTGCAGCTTCAGCAGCTCCACCTTCATCGGCAAGAAACTCAGCTGCAGGCGCTGGTGCTGCAGCTTCGGCTACAGCTTCATGGCCTAGACCTCCCTCAAGACTAGGCCAGGGCAAAGATTCTCCAGCCGCTTCCGCTGCTGGACCAGCAACCGGTTGCAAGATTTCATCTCCGGCATCGGTGTTCACAGGTACACTGCCATCAGCAGCATTGACATTGTCAGGAATAGCAACTTCAGGAGCTGGGAGCGGAGGTGGCTCTGATGGCACACCGTCACCCACGCTTGCCTCTGGCACCTCAGGCTCAACGACAATGGTTCAATTGACAAGCTTCAAAGCAGGCCGTTGTCCTAGTCAGTCTCAGTCAGCATCAACAAAAAACATATAGTTACGTTAGACGATAGCTGCAGTAGTGTGACTGGGATTCAAGGGGGCCTCATACATACAACAACTAACAATTCAATCAAATCTGTTCCGCTTCAAATTGACCGAAGTAGTACATCAACAGCCTTTTCAAAAAGTCGCATCCTGACTCTTTTGAATTCTCAGACATACCAAAAGGCGCTAAATCCAACCGGAGTTTCGACTAATTCGAAATATATAGTTATATAGTAATATCATAGTAGTCAAAACTATTCTTGTTATAATGTTAGAAGAGTGGACAGACAAATCATTGGCCGATTCGAAACACGCGTGTCAATGAGCCGAGGCGCTGCCTCCCCATGACTCTCGCGACCCTTCTCTGGGCCAAGGTCAGGCCCATCACCATCCATTCTCTTCCTTTTGCGACCAAACTTTCCCGATTTAGCCTTGGGCTCAGGCTTGGCTGCCGGCTTTGCCTTTGCCTTTGGTTTTCTCTTAGGTTTTGCTTTCTTTTTTTCGTGCTGTTGTCTGAACTTCTGGTCCACCAATGTCCATCCTGCCTTCTGTCTGGTCTGAACTTCCTCAGCGACTTCTTTGAAGTCCCGCTGCTCTTCCAGAGGCATCTCGGACAAAATGAATTCATCAAGACAATCACCAATGGTCTTTTGAGCTTGTGGCTTTTTCATGGACGCCTTCACCTTGTCAATCCATTCGTGGTCCTCAGGACTGATTTTGTCCAGCAAGCAGTGAACCATCTCGACGCGAAGCAACTTTTCCGGGTTGAAATCTTCCTTGTTTAGATTCATCACTTCAGCTAGAAGAATGAGGTCCGCCACGGTCAACTGGTTTTGGTGAGAGGTGTTCCCAAAGTAGTATTTCAAGATCGGGACCGTGTCAGTGGGGATCATCACAATTCGATCTCCAACAAGTGTGGCCTTGGTGCAAACGACTTGCCAATCCTGTGGCTTCAGCATGAAAACCCAATGAACTTCAGCTGCTGGATCCAAGAAATATCCTGTGATGTCACCATCTTGGAAAATGCACACGGGCCAAAACAAGGCTCCCCACTGAGAATTGCTCAAGCAAAAACCTGTGTACTCTGGAACAGCAGCATCCGCAGGTTTCAACTGCAAGACTTGAAGCCCAACTGCATACTTGCTCAGCTTTCCGTGTGCAACGCGCACACCTTCACTGGACAAGTCATCAAGGGTGTAGGCCCTCAAAAAATTGAAGGCAGCAACTCCTCGAACCAAGGTTTCTTCGCTGATGGTGCCCCATGTCTTCCGCGACATTACAGTAGACCACTCTTCAGGCAGCTGGTGGAGACGCGCAAAGAAACGCCTGCAAATACCCAGGGCTGAGGGCCAGGCGACAACAACACACAGACTTTGCCATACAAGAGAAAAAGGCAATCATTCAGCCACTTCAAAATTACTTTACTTCGTGTGATCCCCACCATGACATTTATACATTTTCTTACTGGCAAATCTTCTGGCATTCTATCTGACATATCTTCTGACATTCTATTTGGCATTCTATCTGGCATATCTTCTGGCATATGATCTGGCATATCTTCTGGCATTCTATCTGGCAAATCTTCTGGCATTCTATCTGGCATATCTTCTGGCATTCTATCTGACATATCTTCTGGCATTCAATCTGGCATTCTATCTGGCATATCTTCTGGCATATATTCTGACATATCTTCTGGCATTCTATCTGACATATCTTCTGGCATATATTCTCATATCTTCGGCATATCTTCTGGCATATCTTCTGGCATATCTTCTGGCATATCTTCTGGCATATCTATCTGGCATATCTTCTCTTCTGGCATTCTATCTGCAAATCTTCTGGCATTCTATCTGGCATTCTATCTGGCATATCTTCTGGCATATTATCTGGCATTCTATCTGGCATTCTATCTGGCATATCTCATCTGGCATTCTATCTGGCATTCTATTTGGCATTCTATCTCTATCTGGCATATCTTCTGACATTCTTTCTGACATTCTTTCTAACTTTCTTCTGCACATTCTTTGTCCCATATCTTCCTACATGAGGTCCGGCAGGGAACACTTGGCGTGGATACTCGCGGTTGAGGTCCGGCAGGAAACACGTGGACGTGGTTGAGGTCCGGCAGGGAACACTGGCGTGGATGGTCGTGGTTGAGGTCCGGCAGGGAACACTGGGCGGGGATGGTCGTGGTTGAGGTCCGGCAGGGAACACTGGGCGTGGATGGTCGTGGTTGAGGTCCGACAGAGAACACTGTGCGTCGAGGGTCGCGGTTGAGCAGGAGGAGGAGGAGAGGAGAGGAGGAGAGGAGAGGAGCAGGCAATTGACATAAAATCTAACAACCCTCACCTGGCAGATGCAAAAACCAAGCTTACAAGAAAAAATATCGTTCCTAATAATGCCACGGCATGAGGTTTAGACTCAGGCCCAAAAATAAGATCTGAAACCGTAAAAGGCTTCCAAAGCAAATGGTACAAAAAAGCCTTGCTTAGAGCGTCATCCCCAGCATGACTCAATCTTGACATTGCTTCAGACATGTAGGTGTTCTGACGCAAACATCTGTCCTAGCAAAAAAAATGACAGACATCCTTCTGGCATTCCACAGCATTTCTTGTGGCATATCTCCTGACATTTTTTTGGCCTATTGTATTTGTTTTTTTTCCTCCTTCTGGCATATCTTCTGATATGTTCGGCGTATTCTCTTATTGTACAAGTTCTTTTCTAGAATTCGATTTCGCATCGTCCAGCACCTATACAAATAATTTGATTAAATTGAATTACACAAGGTCCGACACACTGCCCGCTCCGACCTGGAGATTGCGGATTCTCTAGAAAATCTGCTGAGATATGGCAATTAGTAATTTTGGATTATCGGATACTTAGGGCATTCTGTCGGGCAATATGTTTCGACACCGCCTTTGGCTTTGGAATTCATTCTTTCATTCTGATAATTATCTGGCATACCTTCTGACATCTTTTCTGGTATTGGGAATAATATATTCTGGGAGTCTAGGACATTCTAGGACCTTAGGAATAATATCTGCCCTAAATAAAATTCTGAGATTCCGGCATGGTAACCGTTCCAAAATATTTTCACTTAAATCTTTTGACTGACAGTCTGACATTCTTCCGGCCGGCGGTGCCCACTGACTGAGATCTGGAGCGCTCAGAGCTGACATCCGGAAACGCCCGCTCGCCCAATGCATTCTGGACCTTGCGGTTGAAGTCTACATCCTTGCCCATGATTGACAGGCCCATCGCAATTGTGGGCGAATATTATATACTTAGACGAAGGAGCTGAAAGTAAAGGAGCTGAGACTGAGAAGACGGAAAATCGGAGGATAATTGTAAGAAGGAGAAGGAGAACAAGGGGAAGGACAAGAAGCAGAATATTCGGAGCAGAAGAGAGAAGACGACTAAGAGGGAGAAGGACGTGTGAGAAGGAGTAGAAAACTCTTACATGCATAAAATAACCTTCAGGAGTCAATACGTCAAAACGTCACTACGTCAAAACGTAATCAATGTATTACTCATTCAATTCAAGACTCTAATTACTAATAACCCGGGCCAAGCCTCTTCCTCTTCTTGTCCCGAGTCCGTGGAAAACATCGAAGAAAGACTTCACGATCAATTTCTGCCTTGTGAGGGATTCCCCTGGATGACAACACCCTGGAGCCACAGACGGTTTGCTGCTGACGGTGCACAGTTTGCCTTCGCGTTTGCTGATGCTGGTTGGTCAAGCGCAAATCACTGTGAACATCCTCGATGACCTTTGAGTCTGGCAGCGTTCGCAAAAGGCCTGTCAACAGGCGCAAACCACCTGCAGATGCATGGCTGTACCCATCTTCTTCAAAAGCAAGGTAAACGACCCGCATTGCAGGTGTGTAAACAGCTTTGAGGTCTTCCAAAATTCGAGGGATGGCCTCTGCGTTTGCAGCAGCTTGTTCCAGCTGAAGCAACATACAATGGTCTGCTCTGAGAGTCGCCGCAGCATCCTCCAATGGGGACGCAAGGGAAAACATCCAGTTCAAGTCAACCCCTCAATGACTCAACCTGACAAATAACAATAATAAGGAATATTAAAACTGACAATGACAACTTAACAACTGTTAACTGTCCAGTTTGGAGGACAGGCGCCAACAACTTCAAAATAAGACAAAGCCAAAGCAAGTGACGTTAATGTCAACAATGGAATCCGAAAACTCAAGCCGAAAACAAAAACCCTAGACCAACACCATTCCAAGCCATAATTAAGTTACTAGATTCATAGCGTCGCTAATCATTGATCGGACTCGGGCAGCAAACTGCATGTGACTGTGAGAGTTGGAACTGCACTGGAGTAGTAGCCCACTGTCGTTGAACTGACATGTCAAACACTCAATCAATGAATCCCTGCACGAACAGTGGCTGGATGATTGCAGTTCATTCCGTCATGTCTCAGGGCATTTGTCATTTCTGAAACAATGATATAATAAGCTGTGAAAAAAGTTGAGCTGATTGAGGGAGAGAGGACGACGTAAATCTTGAGAACATCAGAGTTCGTAAGCCCCACGGAGCCTTGTTAAACAATATAACGGATTCAAAGCTCCAAGGCGCACAAAGTAAGCAAATACCATCAAATTGACATCAAATAAAATACCAGGCAGGAGCGGCCAAACCAAAGTACTACAATATAGTGTAACTCAGGTTGGACTGGATACTATTTCGACATACATTGTCATTGCAGTGAAAAAATTGCGTTGTGACTCGATGTAAAAAAAAACATTGCGCAAACACAACGTCAATGCGGTGTCTGCGTTCGAGTTTCCTCCAACTGACTCCCTGCCTTTGCAATCGCCTCATTGCCCGAGAGTAAGCCAACATAGCAGTCTGGAGGAGCGGAAGATTTTGATAGAGACCAAGCTCGATGCTTCAACAAATGCCCGCTTAGTTCAGAGATCTTCTCCACTGTGTCGTCAAACTTGGACTCAAGAAGCAAGCCTTGGACTTGATCATGTTGCTCCTGCGACCTGGTCAATGCTCCATGGACAGCAGCCAGTTCCCTCAAATGGAATTCCTTCTGCCACCCTGCTGAAAGCCGCAGCAAATTCTCCACTTGGTCAGCAGCATTTTTGCAGGTCTGAACTTGCAATGTGTACCACGACCACACTGGACGTGTGCACACAGAAATGATGTTGGTCATTTGAAGAAGCTTGTCAGACATGAGGTGGTAGCATAGCTTCAAGCCACCTCCTAGCTTTTCTTTCATCTTGCTAAACTGTTTCCTCATGGAGCCATTGGAAGCGTCCTCTGCTCCGGTCTCTCGGGCCAAAGACTGCAAAAGTCTCTTTTGATACGCATCGTCTGGATCCAAGCCCTGCCCTTCATACTGATACGCCAAAACCAACTTGAGACTGGTCCACTGACAGAGGTTCTCTTCACAACTTTGGTTCCAAGAAAACCATCGGCCCAATTTTGGTAGCGTCTGCTTGTTCCGAAAGGTTGGTAGGCTTGACAGCGCAGACCAAACATGATCACGTGTTGCGCTCTCAGGCAGCTTGAGCTCTTTCCTGATGGTCTCCCAAACGTCCAAAAACATTGGCAGGGAGTCAGGGGTCTCACGCGCAAGCATGAGTTCCAAAGCCCGCTTCTTATCCTCCTGGAATGCTCCAGTGCCAAAAGGTCGGTACGAAACCGACCAGAGATACTGTGAATGCATTTGAGATTGAAGAAACTCTCCACTGGAAACATGAAGTAGTGAAAGTTTAACATCGCGGATGCATCTGTGGATAACGTCAAAACGCACCTGGATAAGACGCTCCAACTTGTTCAGCGCGAACCTCATGAGGCGTTCGTGTTGCCATAATCACAAATTTCAAACTGTAATGGTCCTTGTCAAAGTCACTGACTGACTGATCAGTCAAAGTCCTGTTAGTAATAGAAAAAGAAACAGTTCAGCTGGGCATTTAGTTTAGCAGGAATTCAGACATCCGGCATCGCCGCTTCAGCTGTGCAGGGTGCGTCAGCGCCGTTTGTGACCCCGGCTCCGGGAGACATGTCATGTTGCTTCGTACTTCCTATAGGTGGTTGAATAATAAATATCATTATAATTAGTTCTCTTTGTTTGTGCTGGGTAAACTGGATTACAAAAGATCTTTGGTCCTAGTTTTTAGGGCCCGGCGGCTACCCCACAGGAAGCAGAGCGAATGCTGTTTCGAAAACGTGAGTGGTGAATGATAGAATAGAATAATTAAGCCAAGAGACGCAACGCCTCCGCAGCATGCTGGGCCTTGGTCCACCTGGAGAACAAGCAATGGGAGATCAAGCCACCAAGGTCTGCTTCTGCTTGCTGGCAGCAAATGGTATTCTTCCCCAGTGGTAGGGTTGTAATGCTTTGCTCGCCATTTCCCTGCTTCCCGATTGACAAACCGCTGGTGTCCAGGCGGAACTGGGCGGATGACAACTTCAGCGGGCGTCTGAAAAGCATCTAGGGTAGCTATACGTCCATTGGTGAGGAAATTCATCTGCTGGCTCATTGCTTGCAACTGCCTATAGGAAGCTACACGAACCAGCTCTTTGTCCTGCGCGGCAACTTTTGGCAGCAATGAAGCCCTAAGACAGCGGACTATCAGGAACAGGTTTTACCAACCACATTTTCAATGATTCAAAGTCAGCAACAAACCTCGCCCTGCAAAACTATCTGCTCACCGAATGACAAGTGGCTGGCTAGCATTACTCAGTCTGACCAGAAGCTTTCGAAAACTAGACGGTGACCAAAATTAGAATTGAACCCATGTAGACCACAAAAATAAAAAAGTACACCCAGTCCTTGGCCAGCTGTTCCACCAAGGAGGTCAACTCCAGCTCCGATGGGGCAATGATGTTCAAAGGTAGAATCACCTGGGTGTTGGCAAATGCTGCGCAATCATTTTCCCACGAATACAATATGCTCACAAGTAATTCTCTTCCGGCATGTGTCGAGGCATCAGATATCAAATTAAAGTGGCTTGCGCCCAGCATGGTCAGGGCTGCGCGTTCATCGTACAACGCTTGCGACCTGCGCTGCCACGAATCCACTGCAGTCCCTGTGCAACCTCCAGTTTGGGCCAGGCTTGGCTTTTTCAATACCTCCAATGCTTGCTTCGTTGTCAGACTAGAGTCCCGTTCCTGGCACAACACTTCCCATATAGACTCCACATTCATCGAGACCCTTTGTTTTTTTCTGATCGCGACTTGTCCGGGAAAATTTTCTTCATGTTGAAGGCCTTCCCCTGATCTCCGCCTCGCAGAAGGCAATCTAGAAGTTTCATGATGAGGAATGTACCAGTCGATCACAAAGACGTCCAAAACAGCTGCCATGAAATGAACTAGAGCCTTCTGCACCCGACGCAAAGAAGAGCCAGACACAGAGTCTGCAGACCATGGGTGAGTTCCCGCAGAACGCTTTTTCTTTTCCACGGAAAACACAAATTTGACCAGCTCTTGCAATGAAACTGTTGAATTTTCACCACTTAAGAGAGGTTCGGACAGATCCCTTTTCTCATACATGTCTTTCCATTCATTGCTCCACGCCACAAAACTTGTCCTGTGCCTCTCTGAAAGCATTTCCTCAAGACCAGTAACTTGTCCTCCCGGGAACACTGTGAGAGACAACATGTCTTCTACTGGAACCTCCTGAGCTATCTGCAACGTTGAGGAGACTCTGCTGCAAAGGGCAGGCAACCACTGGCGTACAAAGTTCAGAATCGAAGGAGTTCTGGATTCTCTGAGGGTGAAATATAAAAATGAGAAGATAGACTTGGTGGTAGCAGCGTTCTCACGTAGCGCTACATCAGGCAAGTCATTCCGCTTGGTGTGACAGAAAAATTCCTGGTCACACACATCTGATGCTCCGACGCCTTGCGTGAAAAACTGGATCCACTTGTGCAATTTTCTCTTCTCGCCATGAAATTTGAACCGGTCATACATGAAGTCCAAGGACCACCACAACTGCTGGCTTTGATCATCAGCTGTGGTCAGAAAAGCAACCTTTGACAAAAGATTGGAATCTTCTTCAAGGCTCAAGCGCTGAGCCTGCTGGTGCAGCAGCATGGAAACCACCAGGCAACACCCGATAAACATTGGTCAGCGCTCCAAGCTGGGACTTAAGTATTTGCCGGCAATGTAATTGTGTGCCAGATCACATGCAGTTAGAAACCGCCCGCAATGATGAAAAAAAACGTGGGACCTGGGAGGTTCTGCAATTTCGTACACAGCCTTATGATATGCTTCCGATACTTCATGGTCAATGACTGATTGCCAACTAGCAGGAGCTGGTTGCTGCACTCACCACAGACAAAAAAAGTCAGCAAGACAAATCCCTGACTGATCCAAACAAACCATTTGCCACAATGGTCTAATCACGACAGACAGAAATGCTTGTTAGTTAGAAGTCTTGGGCACATGGGTCAAAGTTACGCAAAAACTAAACGTTAGTGCAAACTGAGTCAGAGGCGCGGCTGCACTTGAAGGTCACTGGATCCAAAAGCGGAACGATTTCCAACCTGCAGAAGTATTGTTATATCGACCCTGCAACACGTTCGCAAAAAATGACTGAAAACAACAAATGGCACACACCTGACTCACAGCACGACCGGAACCCATCAGATAAGATCCAAGCCAATCCGAAAATCTGTCGCTAACCCTCTGCATGGTCTGAGATTGGAACATTCAAATCCAAGCAAACAAAGTCAGGGCGTATCGTCGGGACATCACTGAGCAAGTCTGTTTCCAAGCCTTCAAGGGCGGACAACTGCAGCCCGGTGCACAAATGCAAGTCAGTCGGTCATTCCAAAACAAAGCATAGCACACCTTTTGTCCAGCCACGCGACCAAAAGTGACAGGTTTCACGGTCACAAAAGACAGCAGCCGACTAATGGGCGAATCTAATTTCGACCTCGTGTGGATGTCACACGCAAAATTAATTTCAGAACTTCAACAAAAATATGGCTAGGCCCCTGCCTCAGCAGACCACTCCTCCATGACAGCAGCAATGACGCAACGGCCAAAGTGTAAGGTGTATGCTTGACTAGCCACTAACCTGGATTTGTGGCCAGTAAAGGTTCCATCGGAATTTCTTTGAACCAGTTCATCATCTTCAGAAACATATGTCCCAGTAGGCCTTGGTCGAGACATACGACTCATAAACCTTCTGCAGCTCCAAAGCTGTAAGGGCTTCAGAGTGGGCCCTCCAAAGGCAAAATGATATGTTGTAGTCTGGTATGCTTGGATGTAGCGGAGCACTGCACTCATCACTCTGGTCCAAGGTAGAACCGAATTGAGAGGTTGCTCAAGGCCTGGAAAGCAATCCAGTAACCAAGACAGCAGGAGAAACAAAGCGGTCACCTGCCCAAGGCAATTACCTTCGCGGACGAAGAATTTCGTTTCATCACCTTCGTAGTTGTTCTCCAGCACGCGAAGGCTCACCGATTTACACAGCAACACAAAGGAGCTGCACGGGCAGCCTAGCCATACCAGCGCTTTGCGCCGGGTTGCTGTCAGGCACAGCAGCCATAAGCGCAAACCGCACTTCTCCAAGCAATCATGTGCTGGGTTGAGGACAGTGTCAAGACTCACACCACGCAATCCAGCCTGTATGGCTACCTTGGAAAGGTTCCCACAGCCACAGAAGTACTCCACATAGTCCAGGCGCGAGTTTCCTGCCAAGCGATGGTGCACACACCGCGCAACCAGAGCAATCAACATCTCACGTAGTGGCCATCCAGCCATGAAGGGGAACACTGTGACCAAGAAGGTTCCCCACACAAGCGAAGCTGGAACTCCACCATGCTGGGCAGCATCATATTCTATGAAGCCGTCCACCAAGGAAGCCACGTAGTTTGCATGTGCTTCATCCGCGCACATCACCCGACCCTCTTCATCCATGGGAAACGCTTCAACCTCCTCCATCATCTGCAAATCCACCTTGGCACTGGTTTGCTCAAATTGGTTGTGCACAGCTGCATCGCGTTCCATGATGCTCTGCACTCGCTGCTGCAACGTCGTCATGGCTGGTGAGTCTGTTTTTTTTGAATCAAAACTCCTCTCCTGGTATTTCTTTTTACCACCTTTTGGTACAGGTTAGAGTCATCTTTGTTCTCCTTTTTGTCAGGTGACCTTAAAGAGCCAAAATGTGTCTCCAAAGTGAATCTTAAGAGCTCTTAAGAGACATAAAGTGATCAAAAAGAGAAAAACTTACCCGGTGTGATTCTCCAACAACATTGGAATTAAATATCAACTGCGTCACTGTATGTCAAATAGTTTAGGGTTTAGGGTTTGATCACTTTTTTGTCTCGTCGCTTGTGATTGCCTCTCATCCGATGCCGCCACTGACACATCTCGCTTGTTGAGACAGCATCAGCATTGCTTGGACACGCATCGCTCAAATTATCTGCGCTCATCACTCACTCTCCCGCCCGGATTGTCTAAGACACATGGCCAATACCACAAGTCACCAAACCGGCTCGACAATAAGCCAAAACTCACAGTTACTAGAAACTGCAGGAAGCTGGGTCATGCACTGCACTGCTGGAAACACAACCATGAAATTACTAATTATGTTTCTCTCGCCTTTGTCATGTGTGCAAATGACCACTCGGTAGCTTCACGTCAAAATCTCACTTGGCTAGATCTTCAGTCACAGGCTCACAACACCATGCCACCAACGACCAACGCGCTGGCACTGGCTGCAGTCGAGCTCGAGCCACCAGCAGCAGGATCATCTGGGATCACAATGTTGGTGACATCGCATTTGAATGGGCACCATCCCTGAGGATGCCCCCCCACGGACCAGGCTCGCTCCAAGCACGGAAGATGATGCGCATGACCACACATCAGCATTTGCACCTTCGGAGCCGTAGGCCCCTCTTGCACCAAAGGGAAACGACAAATCGTGCAAATGTTCTCTTCGCCAGAGGGAGCATCAGCAGGACGAGTCTCGCCCTCCACCTCCCCATCAACCTGAGGGCCAGAACCAACATGATCCTCTGCCACTTCTTCAGCAGCACCACTGCCCGAAGTTGCATTTGGGGTCACCGGACCATCATCTGCACCATGCTCCTCTTCAGCACCGACCACGTCCTCAAGAACCTGGAGAGCAAAGTTTCAAAGGGACGAGCAAAATGCAGAATTTGAAATTGAAAACATATGGAAACATTATAGTTGGAGAACATCGGACAGAAAAAGTATATGTAGAAATCAGTTATGGCACTCTTTTAAGTCTTACTCAACACATGGCGCTTCCAAAAAATAAAGGCACTTGTCATTTGCCATTCATTGAATCCTATGTCTTGGTGTTTTCAAAGCAGTTGGCTTTGACGACCAACGGGTCAAGACTTGTCAATTACCCATCCAATTAAACTCAGTGGCATTCTCCAGTTCACGTTCCAACTCAGCAACCGTGGGCCCGTTCTCAACACCGACTTCTCCAGAAACAGCTGCAGTCTCAGCAGCTACCGAAGCCAACGGGCCAAGCACAGAAGCAGGCGGAGCAACTGGTTGGCGAAGCATCGCCTTGGGAATGGGTCGAAAACCTGTTGGCTGCGCTGGAGGTGCCTTGGCACTGGCTCCCACTCCTCCTGGAGCACCTGGTGTCCCCACTGCCTTTGGAGCAGGAGGCGCTGCCGGCACAGCCGCCCTTGGCACCACAACGGGGGGAGGCACAGAGACAGGGCCAGGTGGTGCTGGCGGTGGTTGCACTGGAGCAGAAGCTTTCATCATGTCAGGAATTCGCTGATTGCGTGCCAAATCAGCCTCTCTTGCGGCGGCCACGGCCTTGGCGCTTCGGCCACGGCCTTTGGGATGAACCTCGTCCACAAGCCACTCCTCATCGAATCCTTGAGCTTCTGCCAACGCATTGACAAATGCATCTGTCAAGAGCATCTCGTTCTTGAGAGCAGTCATAGCTTGCTGGGCCTCTTGACTAATGTTCATGATCTTCTTGTGAACCTTGTTCATCCTGGTGTTCAGCATGCCATAGTCGTCGCAACGAAGTCGAGAAATTTGCAGGTTTGGCTTCTGACGTGTGACCAGCCAAAGCACTTTGCACAGCCCATGTTGGCTCAAGTCCCCACACAGTGTGGGATCCAGAGCCTCGTCGATGGCTTCCAAAGCTTCGGAGAGTCGCTTCTGCAGGGACAAGCAATTTCACAGTACAGCATCAGAATCTATTGAAAGACATATAAAAACCACCATAAGCAGTGACTTGGACTAAAAGAAAACACATATGACAAACCTTTGGAGCAAAATAATAAAACATCAAGGGATAACAATTTCGGATCCAAGTGGGCCTTTAAAGGTCAGCCCTGTGAGGATATCAAGTCACATGCGTCCACACGAATAAACAAACAAAGTCAACTCGCAATTGAATCTTTGAACCCATTGCCTTCGGCAGCGCCCTCAGCAGAGTAGCATTCCGGGGCAAAGCCCTGTCAGGAGCACCGGTGGATCTGTAAAGCTCAGCCCTTCGATCGGCAAGCACCTGCAAAGCCCTCTGGGCAAAGTCCACATGAGCCCCTTCCGCTGCAGGCAAAGCAAGTGCATCCCCTGCGGATCCTGCTGCTGAGGAAGCCTTGGGTGGAGCCGGTCCATCATCGCCCGACTCAGAACTGTCTGCCGCTTGATTCTCAGGGTTCATCATGGCATTCGGCATCAGCATCTGATTCATAGGGTTCATCATCATGTTCTGCAAGAGAAGGGGGTTCATCATCATAGGGTTCAACATCCCCGCTTGCTGCTGCAGATTCATGATTCTCTGCTTCTTAGCTGCCCGGCTCTTAGGCATTGGCTCAAAAAGCTCTATGCGCAAGGGCACTACGTGGAACCTCTACTCTAGCAAGCACCTGCGAACACAAAAGAAACAGAATGCCACAGACATCTGAAGTCAAGCCACTCAAAAACACTTGACTCTTGCAAATTCAGCGTGTTCCGATTCTTTCAAACTAAATTAAGGCAAAGTTGGTAAAACAGTGACAACAGACAGAACCGCTCCACAGCCACCGGCGTCAGACAGAAGACATCGTACCTTTGTGTTACCAAAGCAGGTCGTGAGCGGCTTCAGTCATGATGTAACGGCGGATTATTAGGCCAGCCACGGATGACATCAAACCTTCAGTTTAATTAACTGCCGCCCCGCTCTGTGATGGATAAAATAAAAGCTTCGTCAGTGATGCCATGGCTTCAGTGTATCAAATCAGTTCCAAACAAACATCATCAGCTAAAGTGGTCAAATTTGCTGACAGTTGAAAATCATTACGCCCACTCTCATTCGATTCAACTTGAAATCCACATCCAGAGACTGGCGTAGCACTGCAAGGCGGCGCTTCAGGCACAAATCAAAATTCAAATGAATCTTGACACTAGACAGTCCAAGTTCCGCAGTCCAGTTCAAGTTCAAAGCTACTTGGTAAACTCAATAATGACAAGGCAGTTGCCTTTGTCAGCAAATAGTCGCAAGGCTTGATGCTAATGAATGCGCAGGAAAATTAAAAACAAATATTTTTGGACTCTGTCAGTCCCGAAATCAACATATTAATTTATTACAGTACAGCAATCCTTTTCAGAAATCTTTGCAGACTCAGACATTTGCCATCATCAGCAGAAAAAAAAGCTTGCTTCAAACCGAATTCCGAATTTGGGCCCTCACAGAGACCATCACACTCCGACCAATTGAACAAAAAACGAACCGTTGGAAAACTTTGATGATCATGTTTGCTTTTATTGCTTAGCTAGGTTGCTCTGTCTCAAGGTTTCTACTTCTACTTGTATTGTGCAGCCAGTGTGTGTAAAGTCCTCTTGAAGCCAGGCGCATCAAATAGAAAAAAGACATGTATTGGAATCAGATCCATAGTTCCCTGACACGCACGATGTCCCGGGCGTTCAACATAAGTGTCTCAAACTTCCGTTTCGAAAGTGTTTCGTCAGAAGCAGCTTTCAGGATCTGTAACAAAGGCTCCGGCGGTGGCACAAATGGGCACCGATGCAACATGGAACCAATCATAAACCGCCGCTTGTAAGCCCTGGTGTCTCTTGATTTTTCATCAGAAACACCATGGCTGACGTGACCTTGTTCAAACAATTCCCTGCACAAACTGAAAAATGCCTCCTGGCCGTCACTTCCACTGACCTGGTGCTGCTTGACAGACGATGTGTCATTGCTGCCCGTGTCAAGCTTTACATCGCAAGGAGCAGCATCTAGATGCGGCATTGCTTGGCGTAGCCAGTTTGGATTTGAACGGGCCGGGGAGTACACAGCTCGGGTCTTGAATTGAATGCTGGTCGAGCAGGTTGGCAGATTCAAGAACAGGGTTCCAAGTCATAGGCTCTGGTTCAATTACTTTGCTTCGAGTGAGCCCCACCATGACATTTCGGTGTGGCATCGCTTCTGGCATATATAAAAATTTCTCGGAATATCTTCTGTCTCAGTCTCAGATTCTATTTGGTAAATCTTCTGACATCGCTTATGGGAATCGGGCATTCTATCTATCTAGTCTAAAATGAAATATCTTCTGACATTTTCTGACAAACAATCTGACATTTGTTTGGCATTCTGTTTGTCATTTCCTTCTTGCGTTCTATCTGACATAATCTGGTGTGTCTTCTGACATTCCGGCTGGCGTCTGGCGTATCTTGGGCATCTTGCACGGTATGATTGGTTCTATCTATTTGGCATTTCTATGGAGGTCCGAAGGTGCCCACTGCTATCTGGAGCTCTCGGTCGGTTGGGGTGCATCTGGCATATTTTGTGGTTTTTGAACATATCATCACCGTGATTTAAGTTTCCGGCGCGCACACAGCGATCTGGACGTCACAGGTTTTGAGGTGGAGACGGGCTCTAGTAGACCTCTGATAAAATCTAAATCACCGTCATCTGGCAGGCTGGCAGAGACAAGCATGAGCTGTCAAGCGCTGGACTATGTTGCGGGCTCAGGCCCCCACTGAATACAGACACCTGAAAAGAATTGGTTTGCTCCCTTAACCGGTGGTGTCTTGTGTCCTGCACTGGCACCTGCCATTGCCACATGTGCCATTACAAAGCTGAGCCGGGGGCCAGAAAGCCAATCTTTCTTCGTTCCACGACAAGCGGCCTGAGAAACAAAAGCTGCAAAGGCCCACTCATATAATATATATATATATTTATTTATATATATATCATATCAACTTCTACCACTATAATTCATAAACTGCATGTCAAGCGCTAGTGTCTCAAGAGGCATCAGTTCACATAATTAACTCAATTAACATTTCCGACTGCCACGGTGCGCTGATCATGTGTGAACTTGTCACCCAGTCTGAGAAGTTGACAACACAGAAGTCAAGGACAACCTGAAAATCTTTCAGCATCGGCCGGTCACAAATCCAATGACAAAGAAAACGAGGTTTGAATAAATGAACTCAACCAGCGAATCAAGATTTTCGACCCCAAGAACTAGAATCAGAATGACAGCCACTCAATGAAGCTAAGTTGAAAGGGCCTGGAGACAAAGCAAGTATTGCTGACTGGGGTTAAGGCTGCACAGGCCTTTACAGAAGTGGCCTGGCACAAGCGGATTGACAATGAATCTCTCAAAGGAAGCCGGTTCAAAGCGGAGATCCACGCAATGTGTTCAAAAATGCTTGGGGGTAATTTATACCCAAAGTGAAATCAGTCCAGGGTTTCCAAATCCTGAACCTGGCAGCCCAAACTACACTGCAGTCTCAACAAGATGCGAATTAAACTCGTGAAGTGAACAACTCCTGCACTTCACTTGATTGGCTAACTACCCAATCTATCACACTATTCTCTTTTCGCCCGCTCCAAGCTCCAAGTCGCAAACTGCTAACTTACTACACATCCTCGATACACCACATCTATTTATCATTTGCCCTGCCCGTCTCATGCATACGGCGCTTGAAGGCCGCTGGCAAATCATCATCACAGGCTGTCTTCCTCTTCCGAAGTCTTGGGGCCCAAAGAGTATCCACTGACGATGTTCGCATCAAAGGCGCCGGTTGAATCAATGGCACTGTGATTGTGGAAGCAGTAGATTCCATAGGAGGCTCACTCTCCGCGATACTGACCACATCATCATGATCTTTGCCCCACCGGCTCCAACGCCCCCAGCTGTCATAGTCGTTGTCATTGACATGGTCATAGCCCCAATCATCATCATGGTCATGATCCTTTTGGTTCCAGGACCAGCCTGACCAAGAATTCCAGCTGTCCCCTTTCCAACCCCACCAGGATGACCATCCATGATTTGAATAGCCATTGTCATTGTCATAGTCGTCATCCATCTTGGAGGACCAATCCCAGGGGTCTTCGTCGTCGTCCTTGGCTTTCACTTGGCAAGTCTCGGTTTTTTCCTGGCGGTGTTGTCGGACAATCAAAAGGCGGTGGTCAATCTCCTCAGGCTCCTTCAGGAGAATGTCATCCTGCATCTCCACTTCAATGTTGTAGGACTTGCGCCATTCAAGCACCCAATCATAGATCGGTGACTGAGAATCGCTCAGCACCGCCAGGGCTGGCGAAGGAGTGTCTGTAGTACTGCTGCACAGCCTAAGTAGGCATCCACAGCACAAGGATGATAAAGCGCATATCATATATAGAATCGAAGGTCGTTGAATGCACCATCAATGACAAGCGACAGGAAAAACAACAACATTGTGTCAGAAACCAACTTCCCACATGGCCGAACCAGTCAATGAAAGACAGCCATATTATAGTTATAACTACTTAGCTCCTTGTGAAAACTATGAAATCTTGCCATTCAAAGGACCCCCTGTGGCTTGGCAACCAAATAGGACAGTTCAGGACAGCTGAGACGATCATCGCAACTGTTGCGGAGCGATGGAAGCCTTTAGTGCCTCAAGCAACGGCGGTTAGATTGATAAAAGTTTTCGGTCCCCAAGTGCGCAACATGTGCTGAAAACGCCAAATGAAGTTGTTTTGGCTTTCTTATACCCAAGGGATATCAGGGAGGGATGTCAAAACTTGTAAGCTCGGAACTCGAAAATTTGAATGAACCATCAGCACCAATGCGAATGAGAGACACACTAACGCCAAGACTAAGTTGTCGCCACTAAATAACTTCTGGTGCGCCTTGATGGTTTTCAGCGACAGCGCGACATAGCCCCGGCACGGTTCATCAGCTGATATGTCCCAAAAGTCGGAGCTATTCTCGTATGGGTTCCCTCGGTCACGGAAGCTGACAGAAGCAGATTGATAACTAACCACCAAAAAATAAAAGAAGGACGATCAGATCCTTTTGTCGATCAAACTAGTTCTCTTCAATTCAAAGGTGGTGAAAAACGGACCCCCACTGCTGGAAATTATGCCGGTTACCACTCCAGGTCAAAGTGCAGCTTGGCAGCCCTCGGGCTTCTTTTTATCTGCCCAGTTGGCCCGAACATCAATGCTGACAATCGTCGAAGTGCGAAACCTACCTGCTCAATGACTAACACAAAACACGGCAGATAAATAGTAGTTATACTTACCCAGCCAAACCCCAACGACTTAAAAGTTCAAACTTTTCTTATTGAATTTAATGGGGTAGGCAAGCTGCCAGGAGGCCCCCCCCAACCCCAGGGTTCCCTACCCCATTGAAAAAACACCAAAAAAGTTTGAAAGTTCTGTCTTGGCAAGCCAAGTTTTCTATAACTTTATTGGCTATAACCATTTTATATCTTCAACACAGTCATCATGAAGCTTTTCCCTTTAGCCCACGAATGAACCAAAAAAACATCTGTAGAGAGCAGCTATTCGCTCTTCCCAAAGTGCCTTTCAGCCAACCTGGAACCACATCACGACCTTTTAGACAACGACCATGTCTTGTCTTGTAGACAAACTCAACGCCATAAGCGCACACCACCACAGACATGGATTGAATGGATCCGGCCGAGGGCCAGGGTTCTGCTTGCGAGCATTCAATGCCAGCAGGGCAACAAACTGAGTACTGACAAAGGCAACGCTGGACTTCTTCGAAAATTACAAGTATTGACATGGGTTAAATCTCTGGTCGGTTCACACATGTCTCAAGAGGCCGCCCACACCTTGTCCACACCAAATGCCCGCCAACGGAAAAGCTGAGCCTTACCAGACAAGATGGGAATTGAAAATGGTTGTGGCTAACGTGGGACAATTCAAAGCCTCACAAAAGTAAGTTATCACCTGCAATCAAATCATATCAACCCAAACTTGGGCTGCCCTACGACGAATACTAACAAAAAATGCAATATAATATATATATGTGTGTGTGTTATATATGTAGTAAACTATTCCAAGAAGAATATCACCCATCCAAATCCAGCTTGCATGAGGAATGGGCCATTGGTTCGAGACCTGCATGTCAGGCTTGATTGGCGGCAGACACACCATGCCTCGTAATCACAATCACAGCATGAAGGGTTTGTCGCTGGACATGGAGCTCCACCTGCCACACCGGAAGTAGCTCCGCATCACCTTGCATAGCCACAGCGATGCCAACCCCTCTAGTCCTAAATCAATGCACTGTTCCCCACTGTCTATCAAAGTTGGATATGGCATTACAACAGTATGAAGTATGAAAGTATAAACGCGAACCTTGCATTAGTATAAAAAAAGATCGGGTCAAACTATCACAGCATAGTCATTCAAGCACTGGCCAGCCTCAGGACCAGGAGCCCAAAAGCCTGACCCCAATTGCAAAATCAAACAACAAACTGTTGAAGAAATCCCAGCCACATCCACAACAAGAATATTAGTATGTCCAAGAATCTGCATTTGGTTATTTGGCTACGGTTAAGCCAGTCCGTTTGACGATGTTTCACTGTTTGACACAATAACTTCTTCAGTCTTGAAATGCAGACATTCTTGCAGCCTCAATCATGACCATGCCCGACATATGATCTATTCACATCACAATTCTCTGTTTTTCCACGCCTCCTCCGAGAAAAGCCACCGTTGGCAATAATAGATTGACTTGAAGACTGACTTCCTTGCCTCAGCTCAATGTGACTGTCAGTTTTCATAAACCGCACACTCAACCTTGACATGAATCTCACTGGTCAGCGCTAGCTCAGAGGCCGGCCCGCTCGACAACATGCCTGGGGTCCCATCGTGTGAAAGCTTTAAACCTTATTCTTTTCCCCCACAGTCACAAAAATTAAAAACATAGAAATAGAAACCTGGTAAGCCAGCAGTGGGCCTGCAGCGCTTGGTACACTACAATCAAGTGTTCAGAGGAAACACTGTTATATAATTGATTGCGATATGACAATGAATTGAATTGTAGCTTTGTTTCATCCTGAATGCCCTGTAGCAACCACGCCACGCCACTCTGAATGAAGACGCTGGGCTGCGGCTGGTCACATGCCCCAACCTCGCCACAATTCTGAGACTGGACTTACAACGGCAATTTCGAAAGCCAGCATTGACTGATATATTTCTCGACCATGAAAGTCACTGGGCCTCAATTGAATAAGGAAATCTGAGCAAGCCAGCGCATGACGACAGAATGCCTAGGGAATGCATAAACAGAATCTTAATATGAAACCAAACCCAAGCATCTGAAAACCATCGACCTCAACCTCCAAAACAAAAATGCTTTATTAACTGACTAGCGCCCAGGAAGTCTAGTCTAAGAGCAGCACACTCGGTCAGTGGATCGGACACTGCCATCCCATTGCCTTCTTGGCAGGCAGGGCTAACCACTTGAGAGGGCCAAAGCATCACTGCAACCACCAAACTACAGTTTCAATATTAACGTCATTCTCATTGGACACCACACCACAATGATTCAACCCAACCTACTGTTCATTCAGGAACGTATGAGGTGTAGTCAGCGCAATCTAAATGCCTAAAAAAAAATTGCCATGTCATGTGAACACAAGCACTGGTGACTCTTGATGGTTGCTGAACTGCAAACAAGGAAGGCACTACCAGTCCAAAAGCGAAGTTTGCGCAGTTTGAAGCCACTGAGCCACCAGCTTGCGAGCATCAGTCAGACACTGGCACGGCACATCCAGCTTTGAGCCATGACTTTGAATTGAATAAACCTTCTACACAGGTGTGACAGGCAAACCTGAAGACCGCTTTGGTGCTGCAGGGCGTGCAATGAAGTTTCAACAGCTAGATATATTTATACATATATAATATGTTATATAATATATCTCTCTCTCTATCTTCTATGGCCAGCTTTAATTGTCAGCTTGCTGGGGAGCGCTCTTTGACCTGAACACGGCGACAGACTCGCCCGGTGAAAAGCCACACAAATTTCGTAGGACTTTGGTGGTGGTCTAATAGGGTCAATTTCTCAGGATACTTGAGGTGGAATGGTGGTGTTAAAAAAAAGTTACTTTACTTCGTGTGATCCCCACCATGACATTTATACATTTTCTTACTGGCAAATCTTCTGGCATTCTATCTGACATATCTTCTGACATTCTATTTGGCATTCTATCTGGCATATCTTCTGGCATATGGTCTGGCATATCTTCTGGCATATCTTCTGGCATTCTATCTGGCAAATCTTCTGGCATTCTATCTGGCATATCTTCTGGCATTCTATCTGACATATCTCTATGGCATCTCTATCTTCTGGCATTCTATCTGGCATATCTTCTGGCATATATTCTGACATATCTTCTGGCATTCTATCTGGCATTATATCTCTGGCATCTTCTGGAATATCTTCTGGCAATCTTAGCATATTTTCTGGCATTCTAATCTGGCCAATATCTCTGGCATTCTATCTGGCATATTCTTCTGGCGATCTTGATTCTATATGGGCATTTTCTTCTGGAAATATTCGGACATATTCTTCTGGCATTCATCTGGGCAATTTCTATCTGGCATTCTAGTTGGCATCTATCTGGCATATCTCTGGCATATCTTCTGACATTCTTTCTGACATTCTTTCTACTTTCTTCTGCACATTCTTTGTCCCATATCTTCCTTACATGAGGTCCGGCATGGAACCACTTGGCGTGGATACTCGCGGTTGAGGTCCGGCAGGGAACACTGGGCTGTGGATGGTCGTGGTTGAGGTCCGGCAGGGAAAACTGGGCGGGGATGGTTCGTGTTGAGGTCCGGCAGGGAACACTGGGCGTGGATGGTCGTGGTTGAGGTCCGGCAGGGAACACTGGGCGTGGATGGTCGTGGTTGAGGTCCGACAGAGAACACTGTGCGTCGAGGGTCGCGGTTGAGCAGGAGGAGGAGGAGAGGAGAGGAGGAGAGGAGAGTAGCAGGCAATTGACATAAAATCTAACAACCCTCACCTGGCAGGTGGGGAAAAAAACGCGTTAGTCATCCGTCTGGCATTTCGAGTGAAGGGTCAAAAATTTTAAGCCATTTCTGGCCCCAGCTCCACGAGACATGTTGCGTTGTACTTGCAACAGGTGGTTGAATCATTGGTTATCTTTGTTTGTGCTGGACAGACTCTAAATGGAAAACGATTTGGAAATCCATTGTCACGACAAAATTTGCGGTGCGGGCGGCTCCCCTGCGCAAATAGTTGTCATTGTTTTCAAGGTGGGTCAATAATGCTGTTCTATTTGAACCATAGACAGATTTAAGAATTACATTCACAACCAGTTAAACATGTCAAACACAACTGATAACAATGAAGGGCCAAACGTTTTCACATGTTTGCCAGTTGTCAAAAAAAACGCCTTAAAACAAGCAAAGCTCGCATGCAATGCAAAGCACCACGTCACTCATTTTGTTTCATTTTATCAAGACAAGTACCTTAAAAACCTTGCTGATCTAAACCTCCCTGATGTGGCCCTCAGCTTCGGTTTTGGGACGGTGTAAGGTGAATATCCCCCATTGAATTCTCATTGGTAGCGGAGCTCATAGCTGCCGCAGGTAAAGCTCCTAATTCACTTAGAGTAGGCTGGGTTCCTCTCTAAGGGGTCTTGCATTTTCCCAAAGGGGTTTAGGGTCCTTTGGTTAATTGACAACAGTGCAAGGGAAGACAACCAAGTGATCCAACAAAGGTCAAAAACTGACCACGTGAGCCATGGAAGGGGCTGGCAATGGTGCTGACCCTGGCCGAAGCCAGGCTAGACCAGCATCTCCTGCGGAAGCAGCTGGAGCTAGCACCCTGCCCGCAAGTCAGCTGCCATGGCAGCAGATCCCAGGATTCAATCCACAGGAGACTGACATTCAAGTGTACAGTCGGAAATTGCAGTTTCTGAAGGCCATTTGGCCACCGGAACATGTGTCACAGCTAGCACCCAGGGCAGCTCTGATGGTGGAGGGTGTGGCATTTCAAAAGGTGGCAAGGCTGGATCCAGCAATTCTCAGAAGTGAAGGAGGTGTTCAGTACTTGGTAGAGGCCTTAGGTGGCCAGTGGGGCAAGCTGGCAAGCGAAGAGAAGCTGGCCTGAGAAGGCAATCTACCAGACGATTCAACGCAGCGACGAAACAAATGACAGCTACCTGGCCCGCCATGACGTGGCCTTTGAAGATCTTGCAATGCACAAGGTGCCGATGGAAGAGATCAGGGCGTATGTCTTGCTACGCCAGTCACAGCTGAGCCCAGAGGATCGAAAACGCATCATCTTGGAGAACAAGGGGGAGCTCTCATATGATGGCGCCAGAAAGGCCCTGCGCCTCTTGGGAGCCAAGTTCTTCCAGGAACTTCAAGGGGTGAAAGTCAACAAAAAGACCTATGACATCAACATCTCAGAGAGCCCTTCTGAGGAACATGCGATGGTCCTAGCTGAGGGTGATAGCCGTGATGAGGACACTGCCTTTCAGGTGCTGTATGACGAAGGTGATGAAGATGCAATCTTTGTCAACGACTTTGAAGAGACGCTCATCGAAGTGGCCCAGGAATCACCTGAACTGGCCAGCTGCTATGCCACGTACCTTGAGGCCAGGACGAGACTCAAGGAGAGAGCTCGGGTCCGAGGTTTCTGGCCTATGAGCAGCAATGGGCCCAGCAAAGGAAAAGGTAAGAAGGGGAAGTCAGGAGCCAAGGGCACCAAGTTCAGGTCTCTTGCAGATCGCATCGCCTCTTCGGCCTGTCGAAAGTGCGGGCAATTTGGGCATTGGAAACGTGAATGCCCCCTCAACCTCTCGAAGGGTGACAACAAGTCCAAGATTGCCGCCGAGACCATCTCCATTGCGGAAGCACTTTTTGCGCATCCAGAAGGACCAGAAGATCAAATGCCTCCCATGGAGATGATCGATGAGCTCCCAGACGCTGCTGAGGACTTAGGCACGTTAGGTCCAAAACAAGGGATTTCGACACCTCATGTTTTTCTAGGATGTGATGGGTCCGAAAGTTGTTTCATGGTGTGTCAGAGCAGTGATCTGAGGGAGGGGTCAAAATCAAATGGAGTAGTCGCATCACGAAGGTTTCTCACAAAGTTTAAGACAACCAATCACCAATTTAAAGGGGTGTTGCAAAATGCATTGTCCCGGTGCTGTAGGAAGCATGGACATGCCGTGACCTCGACACCGGCCGCGACACCCACTCGTGACTCAGAACCAAGGGTTCCTGAGAATTCCAGCCAGTTTTCTCCAGCCGTGATTTTAATGACGGAAGAATGTGCCGGAGAAGCCGTGATTGACACAGGTGCCAGTAGGTCTGTCATTGGAAGTGAAAGGGTTCCCGAACTTGTGAAGGCCATTTCCAACCATCTTAGGACTCCCATTAAGAAAATGGCATCAACAGTCAATTTTCGTTTCGGCAATAGTGGCACGCTCCAGAGCCAGTATGCTTTATGCATCCCACGGCGCCAAAAGGGCTGGATACGAGTGGAAGTTGTGCAGGGTCGCACCCCGTTTTTAGTATCAAATGCAGTCATGAGGGAACTTGGTGTTTTGATTGATCCCCGAAATCAAGTGTTGCGGTTTTTGAAGAGCCCCCGAACAATTCCCTTGAAAACATGCCGAAAGAATCTGCTCTGCGTAGATGTCACTGCACTGCTTGATATCACACATGAAGAAACAGCTGGAAAACATACCGAAGAGATATATCAACATGAAGACAAACGAGAGGATGAACAAAAACAAAAGTCCAATATCCCTCCTCGAACATGCATGTCCACTCAATTAGAAGTCATTGTACAGCATCCACCTCACAGAGAGTCGTTGAAAACCACCGAGTCCGAGCAGACACAGGCTCAAGCTGAGCTGCCATCTACACCACCTTCGTGTGATCCGAGTAGACAAAGCCATGGGCACGCCGAAGGAGATTCAGAACTCCTACCTGGTGCAGGATCTGTCCGGAGACGAGGACCCGGGCCTTCAGTCCAATCAGACGTACATGGACGCCCCAGGTCTTCAATATCAAGTTCCCCCAGGGATCAAGAACTTACAGCAGTGGGGCGAGATCAAGGTTCCCTCGGGCAAGCAGCAGGGTCAGACCTTTTCGGAGGTGTACGACAATCACCCCTGCTACATCTTCCAGATCCGCAACCGCAAAGCGGTATCACCATGGTTGAGGAGCCTGCAGAACTACGTGATTGCCCGCCAGAAGTACCAGATGAAACATCCGGGGCAAACTCCACCGACACAGGTGGGATACCCGAGCACGTCCCAGACATCGACACCGAAGAGATCCATGGGAGCCAAAGGGAAAGAGGAACAAGAGTGGGAAGTGATCGCCAAGACAGCAGCCCAGTCATCGAATGCCAAGAAGCCCCAGTCCGCCAAGAGATCAACAACGGCACTGGCATCACCCGACCGGGCCAAGATGACCGTGGAACCCAATGCCGAACGAGTGCAGCAAATCAAGACTCAGATTGCCCTCCTCGAAAGAGAACTGGCTCGAGAGACGCAGATTCCGGAAGAGGAAGACATTTGAAGCAAGACCCAGTACTTCTGAGCGAGGCGCAAGTCCAAGGGCTTCAAGCCCAGGTCGATCAATTCGTAGGGGTGATTGAAAAAGACTTTGCAAAAATCAGGCAAAATGCCGAAGTCTTGAATCCCCAAAGCCCACTAACCAGAGTCGGCCCGTTGTTCTTCTTGAAATTTACTGTGAAAAGGAGTCCCAACTGACTCAACAAATGAAAAGAATGGGAGGGACAGCACTTCGGTTTACACGTTTGCATGGTGATTTGTCAACCCCGGAAGGAGTCAACAAACTCTGGTCATGGGTGATGATGTATGAACCCGAACATATATGGGTTGCCCCTGAGTGCAAGTTTTGGGGATCATTTTCCAGGTTCAACATGGGTAGGAGTGTCACCACTGAAAACATGATCATGCAGGGAAGGCAAGGTGACAGGTGTCATTTGGAATTATGTAACCAACTCTATCTTTACCAGGTCGCTAATGGACGTCACTTTCACTTGGAGCAACCCAGAGGGTCAGACATGGTAAAACAACCGCAGTTGTACGATGTATCCACAGGGACTCTTCCCGCATACTTTGACATGTGCCAAGCTGGGAGACTGAAAGCCCCCTATTCCGAAAAGTTCTTGAAGAAACAAACTCAAGTTCTAACCACAAGTCGGATAGTTCATGCACAACTCCATCAACAGAACTGTCCTGGAAATCATGAACATCAACCTATTCAGGGGAGTGTGAAGGCAACAGGTGAACCATGGGTTAAACTTTCTGCGCATGCTGCTGCCTATACTGCCGTTTTTGCCAGAAAAGTGGTCCAGGGCATGATCAAAAGTTTGGGGTTGAGAGAAAAGCCTTTGTTGTTAGAAGAGTTGTTGGTAGGGGAAGAACTGACCAAGGGGACAAAACGACCAGTGGCACAAGAAGTTTTGGAAATGCGGCGGTGTCGACGACGGCATGGGACAAAAAGTCCACCGTTCCCAGAGGACTTAGAAGGGGACTCAGTCATGGAAGTCCCAGTGGTAGATTGGAGGGGAATCATCACCAGTTTTGAGAAGGACGTTCCAAGGGTTGGTAACGCCTATTTTTGGGTTGATGATCCTCGGGTTGTTGGTTTGCAAGAATTGTTCCCTCAAATCACCATTCAGCTTGTCCTGATTTGTCGCGGCACCGAAAGGTACCGAGTTCCAAGGCAAGACATCAATAGGGATGATATTCCCCTTCGCAAGACCGTTGTGGTACATCGTCAGAGCGGTGAAACTCAAGATTTGGGTGAATTTGAAGAATGGCAACAACTCCCAAAAGCAAAACAGACTCGAAAAGCAGTTCCTGCCAAGATTTCTGTGAGCATTTTTGGCAAGAGGGGTCTTGTTGGTTCTTCTGGTGTTCAGGGTTCTTCCATTGAAAAAGAAGATGTTGCTATGGAGTTGCCACTCACCCAAAATGACGGACTCTCAGCTCCGAGTTCAATGGTTGTCCAGACTGATAACCAAAAACCAATAGCAGTAGAGAGTCAGCCTGTCGCAGAATCGCTCGTACCTGGATGGGCTCCAAAGATCATTCCGAGGCATGGGCCCGCTTTTAGAGCTTTGGAACCCCAACAGAGGACTGATTTGGTCCGTCTTCATCACAATTTGGGCCATCCAGACCCTGCGAGACTGCAACGTCTCCTAATCGACCAAGGTGCTGAGCCGTCCGTAATTCAAGGAGCCCTTGACATGCAGTGTGATGTTTGTCTAGAGACCCAAAAGAAACCAAAGCTTCCTAATCCTTCGGCAATTCATGATGATTTGGATTTCAACGATGTCGTAGGGGCTGATGGGGCTCACTGGAAATCACATTTGGGACAAACATATCACTTTATGCACTTCATTGATGAAGGGACTCTTTTTCACCTTGGAGCCCCAAGCGGTAGGACGGTAGAAGAGCAAATTCGAGTTTTCGAAGATGTTTGGCTGCACTGGGCAGGTCCATGCAAGACTTTGTACCTAGACCCTGCCGGCGAATACATCAGCCCAAAATGGAATGACCGTTTACAGCAAGAAAATATCCAGGTCACCATGGCTGCTGGAGAAAGCCACTGGCAGATCGGCAGGGCTGAAATCCATGGTAGGATCGTGAAGGACATGTTGACAAGGATGGATCGAGAAAAGCCTATTAGAGATGGTGAGGAGTTTAGGCATTGTTTGAGGCAAGTGTTTGCTGCCAAAAACTCCCTGTCCAGAGCCAAAGGCTTTACTCCAGAGCAGGCATTGCTGGGCAAAGCCCGAGCTCTACCGGCTTCTTTGACCGCAGACCAGCAGGCTGGGGCACACGAGCTTGCAGAGAGCTCCACACCAGAGGGAGTGCGCTTTAGGGCAAGTCTCGAGCGTAGGGAACAGGCAAGGAGAGCTTTCATTAGAGCTGATAATGATAGCTCCTGCAGGCGTGCCCTTCTCCGAAGAAGTCGTCCAGGGGCGGTCGAATTCGAAGCAGGAGACTGGGTTCTCTACTGGAAAAGGGTTAGGGGAAATTTAAGACATGAGAGGGGTCGATGGTACGGCCCGGCCCAAGTCATCACCATCGAAAAAACTAGGGTTGTGTGGCTGAGTCATGGTGGATACCTCATTCGTGCTAGCCCCCAACATTTAAGACCGGCATCCATGCGGGAGTATCATGCATTGCCCAAAGATGATCAGGGTAATGTCCAGGACGAACAGGTATCCACCAGGACTCGGAACTACATTGACTTAGATGAACTTCCACCAGTTGTTGGTTCGACTGATGATGATGATGGCTATGAGCCCTCACTTGCCCCGACACCCACAATGGAAATTGACAGTGAACAACCCGAAGATGAGGCTTCTCCCCCTGAAAGTAACTTGGGTGGTACCCCCGAAGAAGAAGACCCCGGAAATGGAGGAACAGTAGCAGTAGATGGGGATTTGGGGGGTCTTGGGATTCATGTACCTAGTTCGGATGAAGAGGGGGATGATTCACTTGTTGTTTTCGGGGATGATTGTGAGCCACTAAGTAATTCAGGGGTATGGGAAATCACTTTAACAGAATCTCCTGAGATGCCTCTTGAAGAGGGTGTGGTAGATGGCAACTTGGCGGAGTGCATTTTGATAGCCACCACCGCAAAGAAACAGAGGGTAGAAGTCCAATGGAAGACATTAGATCATGCTGAAAAGGAACTTTTTAGGAAGGCAAAGGCAAAGGAGGTGCAGGCATGGATAGATCATGGAACAGTAAAGAAACTAGTAAAAGGGACTTTACCTGAAAATCGTATCATGCGGTGCAGGTGGATTTTGACATGGAAAGATCCGCTTCCTGGCACAACGGAAAAACGTGCCAAAGCCAGACTGGTGATTCTGGGATTTGAAGACCCCGACATTTCTTCCGTTCCCAACGACGCTCCCACTCTTAGCAAAGATGGCAAGCAGTTAATTTTGCAAAAGGTTGCTAGCTGTGGATGGACACTGCTGAACTTTGATGTTTCAACTGCTTTCTTGAAAGGAGCTGGGGATGGAAGGAGGCTTGGGATCCATCCACCACCTGAAATAGCACAGGCCCTCAGGATGACAACCATGGACCAATGCGGTCTTGAAGGAGGCGCCTATGGGCGCATCGACGCACCCTATTTGTGGTACAATTCATTTCGGGAGACCCTGGAAAATCTTGGGTTCATGGTTTGTCCACTGGACGGCTGCGTGTTCTCCCTTGTGACATCAGATGCACAAGGACGCCCAAAGGTGCGTGGAGTGCTGGGCATACATGTAGACGACAGGATCGGAGGGGGAGATGATTACTTTTTGAGTGTCATCGAACGTTTGAGGGAGAAATACTCATTTGGTGCTTTCAATACTGGGGAATTTGACTTTTGTGGTATCCACTATCGTCAATGGAGGGATGGAAGTATTGAGTTGAGTCAGAAGAAGTATGTGGAACGAATAGATCCGATCCAAGTCTGTCGACATCGTAGAAAAGAGCCCCAGTCACCAGTGACTGATGCGGAGAGACAATGTCTTCGCCAACTGTGTGGCTCGCTCCAGTACGCGGCGGTACAGACTCGGCCTGATATCAGTGCCAAGGTAGGGATTCTTCAATCACTGATACCAAAGGCTTGCATAGAGGATCTCCTTGATGCAAATAGAGTCCTGTTCGAAGCCAAGAAGAATCCAGTCACCCTTGTCATTGTTCCCATCTCAGAGAAACAGGTTTCATTTTGTGCGTTTTCCGATGCTTCATTTGAGACGAAGAAGGGTACAGCATCAAGACAGGGCACAATCATTTTTACCACGGATTCAAGAATGGCTCAGAACCAACTCTCAGTGATTTGTCCAATAGCTTGGTCCAGTCGTAAAATACCACGTGTCATTAGGAGCACTTTGAGTGCTGAAGCTTCTGCACTGAGTAGTACCCTGGACAGGCTAAGCTGGTTGCGCCTGATTTGGTCTTGGTTGTTAGATCCGAGCATTGACTGGACCAACCCTACCGAAGTGCTCAAAGAGTCGCCGTTGGCATCCATAGCAACGGATTGCAAGTCAGTCTTTGACTTATCCACAAAAACCTCGACTCCAGTGTGCGAGGAATTTAGGACAACTTTGGAGTGTCTTTTGATCAGAGAAAGATTGACTGAGAATTGCAGACTCCGTTGGGTATGCAGCCAAGCGATGTTGGCTGACTGTCTCACGAAAATTATGGATGGGGGAACTTTACGTAAGGCATTGGCCCTCAGGAAGTATTCAATGTTTGATGAATTGGACATCTTGAGACAGAGAGCTGACAAGCGCGAAAGACTCAAATGGCTGTCAGAACAGGAGACCAAGATCCAAAAATCACCATATGATCTCATGCAAAACATGGAAACAAGAGGTTGAAAATTTTGAGATTTTGACGAGTGTGAAATTAACCACATGAGATCATTCAATACTTTGTCATGGACATCATTGGACACCTTTGGATTCTTGGATGGCATGCCACACCGATTTTGGCCACTCCTCGCCATTGATCGCGGCTCCAGATCGAGGAGGGTGGGACTAGGGATCTTGAGTGGGAAAAGGACAAGCTGGCTTGCGGGGAGATCGGGCATCTCGGTGTAAGGTGAATATCCCCCATTGAATTCTCAATGTATATATGTATATATGTATATATGAATATATGTATATATGTATAAGTGTATATATGTATATATGTATTATATATGTATTATATATGTATTATATATGTATTATATATGTATTATATATGTATTATATATGTATATATGTATTATATATGTATTATATATGTATTATATATGTATTATATATGTATATATGTATTATATATGTATTATATATGTATTATATATGTATTATATATGTATTATATATGTATATATGTATTATATATGTATATATGTATTATATATGTATTATATATGTATTATATATGTATTATATATGTATTATAAATGTATTATAAATGTATTATAAATGTATTATATATGTGTTATATATGTATTATATATGTATGTATGTATGTATGTATGTATGTATGTATGTATGTATATATGTATGTATGTATGTATATATGTATGTGTATATGTATGTGTATGTGTATGTACGTACGTACGTATGTATATATATATACATATATATATATATACATACGTACGTACGTACATACATACGTATATTATATATATACAGTCATCCCCTAAAAAAAAGAAAGTAACATCCCACTGAGACAGAGATAAATTACGTTTCAAGTCTTTTTTGTGCGTTACATAGATGATACATCTGGATATGGTCAGTATATTTCTGTTCAGCCAGGGTTCTCAAAATGCAATAAGAATCCGATTGGCTACTGCCGGAAAATGCACCTCCTTTTTCTTAGTGTCCAAACATCATATTGTCATACTTCCTCAACGGCATGTCCTAGCCTACCTGCATTTGGTGCCACAAATGCCATACTGAGTTGTCATTGTTCATAGCCTGATGTTGAAGGTACCCCACTTGGTCATTGGGTACTACACCAATTCCCATAGACATGACTCAGCTGTGTTTGAAATTCTGAAATTCTGAACTAAAGGAGTTCTCCTGTTCCGACTCCAAGGCTAAGCATTTCCACCCAGGGATGTCCACCTGTTTCTCGCTCGTAAAAGCCTGGCGGAGGAAACGATACCAGTGCAACTATATGCAACTCAGCCCTTTTTTATCCTTTTTAAGTGTCTTGGGAAAAGAAAAAATCACATCACAATTCTGGGGCATCAAAAATTCTGGAGCAATTTACATCCAAGAAATTTGGTTAATGTGGTTAAAACAAAAATAAACCATCCCCATGTCACCATATTTTTATAGGTGGTATCTTTACCATTCCCAGTCATGGATGATTTATAGCTTATGGCATTGTTTTAACCACATGATATTAAATATTCCAATATTTCATGTTATCCGTATACCCAGTATATAATATTCCATTAATACCCAGTAACTGGAACAATATATTATACTATATAATTACCAATATATAATATACAGTATACTATATATTATACCACTCATATTACCAATGACCTCTGCTGTACCCGGAACCTTCACATCACAACACACGGTCCACATCGCCGGCCTGGCAGTTCATCCAGCTCCACATCCAGCAGCGCCACATGGCCTGCTCCGTGAAACTTGTTTTGCCCGCCGAAAAAGCCACCATTGGGAAACCAGAATGAAGATGTATTATGATATGTTTATATCAAGGGGTCCCCAAAAAAGATAATTAATTACATGTGATTTTTCTAAGATGTTGGAGTGGATTCTGAGTAGACTCTTAGCTAAAGACTTGCAGGTTTCCAATGGTTTAAGTCTATTCAAATCACCATTATGTAAAGATACACCCGCATTGCCGCTCTTCAGTACTCCAAGTATAATGTTATATTGTACAGTATATATTTATGTAATATATATATACACAGTATTGGATGATGCCAGACTTCCAAGAACGGAATCCCAAGGCAGAAGCATGCAAAGCTTCATTTCTGCACGGGGCAATTTATATGGACCATTCACTATTGTTATCAATTGATGTGATGTGTTTCAATGATAATTATTTGGTGATAAAATTTGAAGATCATCCCAGTTATGTGGTTGTCATTGGTTGTCCATAAGAATTTCTTGGAAGCACCAGAAAATGGGGATGCACACCCTGGTCGCGCCACACCATTTTCACAGGTCGCATGGCCATTTCGGCGTTCGCCAGAGGTGCCCCAAAGGGCAAGACTGACAGCGACGGGACAACACAACTCGTGGAACGTGCCGAATTCCAACCTTTTACACACTTTGATGTGGGAAGTGGTTTGGAAATGGAAAACTTGGCAGGAAATGCACCAAACATGATGATAGATGATACAGCTGGATCCTTTGGGTGTATTTGATTTCATTCGTTGCGGCATGTTCCACCAGCAAAGAGTATCAAGTTCATCAAGTGATCTGAAAACACCTGGACCGCCCCTCCAAGTGAAATCGTTGGAGGCAGCGGTGTTGCCACAGGTGTCTCAGTGCCTGAGGGATGAAGGTGCGAATTTGGGGTGCGAATTGGGTTGAAAGCCATGGTTGAAGAATGTTGTGTTTTTGAATTTGCTTCATTTCTTTCTTCTTTTCCAATCAAACTTGAAGATCTTGACCTGTATGCACCATGTCTTCTCTCCGCATCTCCCATCTCCACCATCAGCAGCAGCAATACTAATCATACCCGTACTGCCCTGATTCAATGTTTTCTTACATCCAGAGTGTAAATGCAATGTGCAATGTGGTACCCCAGGTAGATGACAACTGTTGCAATAATATGTTTTGCTAACTTCTCTCCTTTGGATTCCTTTGCCGCGCTGCCAGAAACATCATTGCCATCCAGTCCCATCCCCCATATACATGTGTATCTATACATACATA